TCCCCATATTCCTGCCGTCATTATTTATAATAGAACTGAATACCGTGTCTCTTACTGATATACATACTCAGTGTAGGCACGCGAAGTGTCAGTAGCTAAAAAAAAACAACTTTAAAACCGCTGGAGATAATTAAAATCTGATAAGCGCATTGGATTCCTCGTGCGATTTTACGTAAATCCCATCTATGAGTTTTTAACCACTTGCAAAGCAGATTAGCATGGAAAATATTGAAAGGAAGTGAATGGCAATATGTAACTTTCCACTAAAAAAAATGGGAAGACAAATAGTGAACTTAAAAGTATGCAAGGAATCGAACGTGAACTTTAATTTAGAATAAGTCAAACTTTAATATGGCTTTCCTAATCTAAATCTCAATACATATTTTAAATGACTTGTTTCCACTTAAACCTTAATTAATTACAATTTTATTTATTTATTAGATTTATATTCATTCAAAAATTAATCAATTGTTTATTCTCAATAACTAAGCAATATCCTGCTTTCTACTTTGCTCTTCATTCGTCCACGTTTTGTTTTGCTGGAAGGTAACTAGAACAAATAAAAACAATTCAAAGGTAGAGATTGGTTCTAAATACTAATCTAAATAAATACTTAAGAAACGAATGTTGGAATGGGGTGAAACTAGTAATCCTAAAAAAAGTATGTGACCACACCCTTTAACCTCGATGGGAGTGGGCCGATTGACCCCTGAAGTTGGTATCATCCTCCCCCTACATAGTGTCATTCACATGCTGTCGCAAACCGATCTTGATTACCTTGAGATCCGTTCTTGAGTTGTTCAAGTTCAAGTTCAAGTGTTCTTTTATTCAAGTGTCAATAGATATCAGCTCATTACAAACTGGTTTACAAACCATGACACAAAATGCGTATACATATTTATGTATGTAACTAGACTAAACTAAATATAACGTAAACATGAGTAATTGGATAATTAACAATAAGTGGAATTTCTTCTACCAATAATAAACTCTCGACATTGTGTAACAAATTTTGGATATGTAATGTTACTCTCCCATGATCTTGGGAGTGAGTTCCACAATTTCGACGCTCTTACACTTAAACAATTGAGACCCAGCGCTGTGCGGTATCGAGGTACCACCAAAAGGGGCCAAGAGCGTTGTGTGTGCGTACTGGTAGCCGTGGGAACAAGATTGCGGAAAGCATATTTAAGCAAAAATAGATCACGCCGCTCCAGTATTGTTAATAGATTACACTTGTTTAGCAGATCAAATGGATTAATAATGCTAAATAATGTCTTAAATTTGTTCTGATTCTAAACATACAGACAGACCGACGAAGTCATTGCTCAAATAGGGTTTGGCCCTATATTTTAACCTCGAGGTTTCCAATCTCATCAATATTGAAAATATAATCCAATTATTTATGCACGCGTGTATGTACAGTATGTAACAAAAGTATAGCTACGATGACATATTTTTTATCTCGACATGATGCCGTAATATTTCAACTTTGAAACTCCGTACAAAAATGTCACAACTATCTGCCGACAATTTCCTCGTCGCCGATTTTTAATGTCGCAGATAGGTCAAAGGTCAGGATTATTTTTCTAAAAAAATTTGAGGCGTCGAAAAAAAAACTTCGTGGATAATTTTTTTTTGAACTTTGCAATATTTTTTACTGGATGCGGCATGCGTTTTGAAGAATAATGAGCTTTGGTCGGACCGTGTACGATTTTTTGGGCGCCCACAGGAATTTTTCGCCCAGGACAGGTTGGAGGTCTAAAATCGCCGCCTTGGCGAAAATTAAAAAACTGAAATATACGTTTGCATATCCGGACCCTCTATACTTTTGTTACATACGGTACATAGATTCATTTAACTTTTATTATGACGATGAAAACTAACTAATATAACCAGATTAGAAATTCTGTAATACGTATACCCTATACATACATATATGTAGTGGTAAACTTGTTATATCGAACCTCAATATCATCCGCGTTCTAGCAAAAATACGTTCAATACATACATATTTTTCAGTCGGATATGCAGGAGCGTTATTGAAGTATCCAATTCGGCGAAAACGCTCCTTAAGTACAACTCTCAATACTATTTGTTTCTTATTTTGCACAGCAATGATACTTTAAAATTTGATTTCAACATCCTTCAAAGTCTCGAAAAACGTATCGAAAGATAAATACATAGCCTTAGCCATGCTTGTAACGCCGTTAATGTGGCTATCGCTAGACTTATGTTCCAAATACTACGCCCTCTTTTGGGCCCACCCGTTCGAATGGGATCCATCCAGAAGAAAATTTATTGTCAACAAAAAATCGCCAAAATTAATATTTTACTTAATCTCCATGATGGCCTTAGGATCTGCACCTATCGTGTGCTTAACCCTATTAGCCGCGAACTACTTGGGCGTAGGGAAGCTGACGTTTGTCGAAATACTTGTAAACATATTGGGTTTTTTGTTCGTTACTTTAACAATTGTGACGGAATTATTGTTTGTAACGTATTCTGGTCAGATGAAGGTTTACAGTAATTATGTAATCCGACTGGACGATCGGATCCAATCACGTAAGTTAATGACTGGAGTTTTAAGTTTGAAGTTTTTTTTTACAAGAGAAAATGCCAAGGTGTCAAAGCAGTTAAGGGGTTGATACTTATCCCAAAATGTTCAAAAGTACAATATGGCTATGGTGATTCGACTAGTCAGCTCCATTAATCGTGGGGTTTTGCAATACTATGGTTGGTATTCAATAATTAGACCCAATTCAGACAATAGTGGTGATGTGCTTCTACATACGTAGTGATTGAGCAGCACCGAGCTAGTGATCGGTATTTCCATGCAGTTAGCCATTGGGCATTGATTAAGTGTGACGTGTAATAATAATCAGGTAAAGTCATCATCGGAGATAATCCGATTTGATCGTATAGATGTCAACCCGTAACTTGTTTGACACCTCGGTACGTTCCCACCTTAGACAACTAAAATACCTAATTTATCCTTCTTATTAAAGGTGTTCACTCCCGACCACAACAACTCAGAAAATTAGATCGTGTCGGAATATATCTAAACTGTTTGTTCTTCAGCTTCGCGACATGTCCCTGGTTCTTTGTCGGTTTCTACATTGCCTTCGATATGAAATTGGATCCCATATTTTTAGTCATCAAACACATCTTGCCACATAATCCTGTCCTTTTCCAACTACACCGTTACATTATTCGCCCCTTATATATCATTCCTTTAATCCAGTGCAGTCGCAGTTTATGCTTTGTCCTATTGATGTATGGCATCCAGGGTAATTTGGCAATTAACTGTGTCGACTATCTGGACGAAACGGTGTCTCGAGTAAGCAGCGTGAGGGTAGAACAATATTTGCGGGATTATGATACCCTGAGTGTGTGTTTATCAATGTTATCATCATCAGCTGGAACCCTAGTATGGTTCGGTTTGACGTGCGGTTTCATTATCACTGTCGTATGTAACTACATCTGGATTCGTTTGAGGCACGAAATTCCTATGCCGCTGTATTTAGTCTTCCCATTTGTGGGATTTCTCATCCCAGTTACGATTCTTGTGATGTTGTCGAATATTTTGGAGGTAAATGAGAAGTCGAAAAGGATTTTGGTAAAGTGTAAATTGATTATATATAGAAGTAAGGAGATCAAATATGTGAGACGAAGAGTATCCGCGATACAAGCATTTTGTCTGTATGGGCAATTAATGGGAAATCGATTATTCAAGTGTAATAAATTGGCTAGGACGGAGTATTTTTCGGCAATGTTGGATAATACTGTGAGTGCAGTTATGATTGAGAAATGATATTGCATTATAATATGTACGCCCTAATACAATATTATAAAAATAATAAAAGAAAACTGGTATTCAATTTTCTGGTATCATTACTGGCTGAGTAATTAATATCTACGTATGTGACTGAAGGTCAGTATTTCCGTAGTCAAAAAACGTTTATTGTCACTTTTATTGTTACACACTTTGGCATGTTAGATAACAAAATGCAGAGCGGCCTCCTCAGCGTTTCTCTTTTTTATACTTGTCTTATAATATTTTTTAATAACTTGGGCACATAACAGAAGTTGCATACGTACATACATTGACATAAATAAGTACATATTTACGTGTATATTCTAAATTTGGACGATGTGTATTCGTGTAACTAGATGAAGGAGATAACGTAAATAGTGCGATAGAGTTCTATGATAAATAGATAGACATATGAAGTTTCTAGTACAAGTATACATTGACCCTCAGGAATGCATGTAAATTTACTACAAAGGCAACTTTTTAAAATAAAGTAAATGTCCATAAATTATATCGCCTCCTCATTGGAGTGGCATAATAAAAGATTTTTAGTAGTCATTACATACGTATTTAAGCGTGTGCAAATTTGCAAAATTAAGCCCCAATTGCCATTAAACGGACCAATCGAGCCGCTCCGGTGGAAATAGATTTGTAAATATTTCGTCATGCTTGTGGTTAAGGACTCGAAACATGAATTATTTTCGAAACCCCCATGTCTTAAGCTATGTACATATGTAAATATGTATACATAATAAATCAATAACCTTCAGATCAATTTTTAACCTTCTCATCAGGGTATGCTACCCCGGGTTTTGGCGGTATTGGGGTATTGCGGGTTTTGGTGGGTTTTGGGGTAGCACAGGGGTAGTTGGGGTAGCACCACATTTTGGGGTAGCACCACATTTGAGCAATACCCACGGGTAGTCGGGGTAGTCGGGGTTTTCAAATTTTACAAAATATGATAACAGGGCATTACTAGCAATGAAACAAATTAATTACTTATTAAAATATAATTAATTAGCAGTTTTGTTGCGAACTTACTGAAAAATTGATTTTTTCATTAATTTCTGAACTTAATACACTGACTCAGTTTGCCCCCAAAACCCCGACTACCCCGACTACCCGCAAAACCCAGGTAAAACCCTGGGTTATGGGTTTTCAATAGCAAAACCCCGGGGTTTTCCTTGCCCTGCTTCTCATTCTATTTTATGTCTTCTTTATGTAATCTATGTATCAAGTCGAAATTTGTGTAAGGAAATAAATAATTTTATTAACACACACTATGAAACAATTGGAATAAGCTTTGTAAGTTTGTATTTTTGAAATTAAAATTGGTTGCAAATAATAATTAAAACAAAATTGTGTTGAACAAAATTTACATGATGATTGTCAACTTACGATTAACTAGAAAAAATTAAATTGGGTCAAAAATTGCATTTCCTCACGACTAATTAGCTTTGATAACAAAAATGTAAATATTCTGGTTAAAAGTGTTGAATAATAACCAATTATAATTTTTTTTATTCAGAGTAGCACGAGAAAACTTGAGCCAATACGTCTTGCCACATTTGCAAGTTGAATTAAGCCAATTGATTTGAAACTAAGATTATTTACCCTTAAGATTAAGATTATTACCAATTTCGTAACATCTTTACCTTTTTTGCTGTTTCGCACATTTCCAATAATTTTTTTATCCGAACATGGAGCTACATACGATTGTAACCAGAAAGTAAATATGTGTATGCATGTCCGCCAGTTAACATGCTCTTGGCCCCATCCTATGTCCAGTTAATTGAACGGGTAAGTTTTCATGCTGGATCAAGTTTACGATACGAAGGGCGGTGTCACAGTGCAGCTGGAAAAATGTCATTCATCGGTGTATGTATGTATGTACACTCTAACAAACCCGGTAGCTAAATTACTACCAGGCGGAGTATGTGCAGGGTGGTTTAAATATCGGGTTACAATGGACAATTTTTTAATTGGAAAATTCGTAAATTTCCATTAGTTACGGATTGGGGATTTAGATTTTATTAATTTATATCAAAATTTATGGAACAATGATGACAAAATTCCTAAAATATTGAATTTCAGAGGGAAATTTTCGGTAACTAATGGAGATTTGCGAATTTTTCCCATTGAAAAATTTTCCATTGTAACCTGACATTTAAACCACCCTGTGTGTGACTCTACCACATGGTAATTTGTTTATTATTGAATGGTAGAAAATTAATTTCCAAATGGTAATATTTTTAAATTTCGCGACCGACGTTATTACCGGTTTAGTAACAAAATGGTACCACTCAATAATAAATTAATTACCATGTGGTAGAGTCACATTTGTAGATGGTAATAACTTAGTTACCGGGTTTCTTAGAATGAGCTTATTTACATAATCAATTCGGAAATATTCTTAATTAGTTACCAATATTCCCGACATTTCGAGGGTTCGCATGGATCTAAGGACATTCTCAAACATGACAATACAATTTTTGACGCCAAACTTCTTCAATTTTCCGGATATCCATAAGTCATCGATAACATAGGTTGGGTGACAGGTAGAGTAAAGCTCAAAGAGTTTAAGTTGGCCACCTGGGCAAAATTAAAAGTTTTTTACGAATGTAGTAAAATTTCAATTTGTTAAAAAAATTAGAATGCAAATATAAGAAGGAATATGGAATTCAGACCTACATATGCTCTCCGATTTTTCGGGGTATGCTACCCCGGGTTTTTGAGGTATTGGGGTTTTGCGGGTTTGGGGTAGCAAATATGTATCAGAAATACCCACAGGGGTTTTCAAATTTATTAAAATATATTAACCGGACATTCTACAAATTTTAGAAGTTAATTAGTTATTTAAATAAAGTTAATAAGCAGCCCTGTTGTGAAAATCATTGAAAACCCTGTTTTTTCACAACTGAATACATGAGACTCATCCTCAGTTTACCCCAAAAACCCCGAATACATACCCCGATTAGCCACAAACCCTAGGTAAAATCCCCGGGTGAGGGTTTCCCTTACCCTGCTTAGCTTTCTAAAATCGGAGATGATAAATCTGCTGGGGATGCTAATAAAACATGTGGAGGAGCGTGCAAATATTACGTTATCAAAAAGGGACCTGGGTGGTATTGGATCGCTTATCTTGCTCGTCTGAAGCTTAACATGATTAAGATAAGGAGGGGGTGGGTTTGCGATCTAAAGATAGGTGTTTTTCTATGACGTAATATATTGACGCTCCCTTCCTTACCTTTAAACAACTCCTCATTATCGGAAAACCCTTTCACCGCGTCGGAAAGTTTGAGGGGCATGGTCAAAAAGAGCTTTATAGCAGATAACCCCCCCATTGAGACGAGACCCTTGAGCTGATTACCAAATACTCCGTGGCCTTCGTCGTCTCCCCCATTTTCTCCACATTTTGCATGAGTCACTAAAAACAGGTCGGTAACGGCGGGACAAACTTTTCTCAGCTTTTCTAACACACTAAAGTCCGAGAGGCCATGAAATAGTAGTCTTTTTACCCCCGGAAAAACCAGGGGAACTTCGGAATTGATCCATTTTTCCAGAAACTTATCCAACAATCCTTTCTCCGTCACGGCGCTGGAGCCCAACTCAATTTTATATAAGTTTTTATACCTCACAGCTTCCCGCAATCCGCCTAATTCATCCCGACTTTTGAAAATGTCGACTGACCCGTTGCAATATAGCGCCAATTTTGGCATGGTTTCCGGCAGCGAGAAATTTTGCGGGGTGGGCGAATATTTTCCGAAATTCGTGTTCACCCCGATTTTGAGCAATTTTAAGGAATTCCCGACCTGCGAGATAAGCCGCGTCATCTCGGCGGCGTTGAAGGGCGCCTGCGCATCAGCCTCATCCAACCCGCCGCCGTAGTAACAGAGATTTACGAGTTTCGTATTCACGCCCAAATCCGGGTACACGTTGGCGTAAAGGATGAGCGTTTTTAAATTTGGCGCGGAATCGAGCACTTTTTGGATAAAGGGATTTGGCGCGTCGTCCACTTGGAGGGAGATGTAGGTCAGTTTGAACTTTTGGGGTAAGTTGAACTCCCACATTTCCTGGGTGGCGTCCTCCTCGCTTCCTCGTGGGGGGCAGGATACGCTTAATTCTTTCAGGTTGGGGCAACCCGCGGCTAAAATGAGGGCCACGGCGGGAAGGATGGAGACCTTGAAGGAGATCCAGATCCCTCGAATCGTGTCGGAATATCGGGCGCAAAGTGGCGCCAATAATTCCCCCGCGGAGGCGCGACAATGGTCGCTACATCCTTTCCGGATGCATATCCAGCGCGCCAACTTGGGTGACGAGAGGGTGGGAAAGATCGTGTCGAGAAATTTGGCGGGGTTGCAGCACGCCCCTTTCCTCCCGTGGTTGAGGCGAAGACGAAGTCGGGCTTTGGGGAGGGATAAGACGACTTCGTTCCAAAGGCGGGAAACGAGGCGGAGTCGTTTAACGGAGATACCGCGGAAGAGGAAGATTTCTTGTAAAATCTGGAAATTTTTTAGGGTGGAAAATATACATATTTTAAAATAAGATGATAACACTATTAAAGGTATTCTAACCATTTTTGAAATTGCATGAGATAAATTAATGAATTAGTATACTAATTCATTAATTAACTATAATTATTTAATTTACAAATTCACACTGGATAATATATTAACTCAATTATATGTTCTAAACCCATAGCAAACTTTACTCTTCATCAAAATAACATTACACAATTAGCGTACTTTACTCTGGATTTTGAATAGGGCATCCAAAACCGGTTTTTTCGATTTGGTAAAACCGGTTGAAAACCGGTTTTCGATTTCCCCGAAAACCGGTTTTATAATTTTCCAACAATACGGTTTTGCAAGAAACCGGTTTTATCACACTCGAAAACCGGTTTTCGATTTTTGATAAAAATTGTTTTAGAACTACAAAATATTAGCGATTTCTCGTTTTTCATGCAAAAATCAATTGTTTTGAAATATTTTTCTCCAAATTAATGCCCAAAGTTTGTTCAACTTTCAATTTTATCACATTATATTTAACACATTTTTAAAATTGAGTAGAAAACCGGTTTAAAACCGGTTTTGGAGAAAACCGAAAACCGGTTTTACGAAAATTTCAAAAACAGGAAAAATCGAAAACCGGTTTTTCAAAATTTTCCGATTCTGGATCCCCTAATTTTTAATACACAATTTACTTAATTTGGAGTGCATATAAGTTTCAAATATTTTTAAGTGTGTAAGAATTTGAGATATTTTTTTAAGAATTGCTCACCACTGCATTTGATAAGGCTGGCGAAACCGGGGCGGGTTGGTGGGGGTGGTCAGACATGATTCCGTATGTAGGATGTCGAGGCAACCTGGTTAAAGTTAAGTAGAATATATTTACATAAATATATCTAAAAAGATCTACTTATTTGCATACAAATATTTTTTGTACATAATTGCGATTAGTTATTAATTCTACACTCTTATGTAGAAGAATCTAGGGTTACGATTATAACCAAAGAGTAAACTTATGTATGTGACTCAAAATTTGTCACCGACTAATTATAAACCTTGCATGACTTGTTATTAAATTGTCACCAGAGCTAATAAATTTATAACCAGTTGGTGACAAATTCACAACCACAGCCGTTTGAGTCATGTACATATGTAGTTTACATTTAAAAATGTAAACTACAAAAATTAATTAAGTAAAGTTAATTACAAAATTGTAGTAATCGTAACACTATTTCTAAGAGTGTATGTAAATATTTAAATATACATATATCTTACGTGAAAATGGATTCACTTCAATCAATTTCCGTGTTTATCTCCTTTCTTTAATTGTGTATTTAACTTGGATACACAATTTCTGACCACGTTCATCATAAGAGAAAGGCCAAAACCCTTTGGGAATTCTGTCAAAAAGGGATACATACGCTTAAGAAGAATTCCACCCTTTTGAAAAGTGCATTCATTCTGAATTCCATATTAAGTAAACTCGAAAAAGGCAAGTTTATCAAGTCAACTCTGGATTTAGTATATGTTCATACATACATATTTATTTAGTTTACTTAATATGGACTTCAGGGTTCACTTGTATAAATACTGTCAAAAGGGTAGCGTCAGTTACAAAGGGGTCATCCATATATTACGTCATCAAAAATTATCGATTTTAGAACTAATCCACCCAACGCGTAAATTAAGGGATAGGAAATAATAATATGTAGGATGTGAACGATAGGAAGAGATAAACCGCCCACCCATTAAAATGATGACGTAATATATAGACGTTCCAGTGCCGACATGTTTTTATACGTACGCTCAACCTAAAAAGTCTCCAAGTCTGTGACCTGGGTTAATCTAGGGATAAACTGTAAAGCATCCGGTAGAGTCACATACATATGTACTCCGTACTGGTACTTATTGATGTGGTAATAATTTTCTACCGGGTTGGTCATAGTTTGATTCTGAGTGGTAAAGATTTCATTACCACCACATTACTGCGCCGTAACGATCGATATTACCGACGCTGGTAGAGTCATATATATGTATGTACTCCGTCCGGTAATGATTCATAACGATTCAATACCAGTTGCCTAAGAGTGTACAATACCCATTTTTAATATTAGAACGTAAATACAGTGTCTCTTGTCGAACCGGAAGAATGTAAACCATAAAAGGTGCACTTTCTAAAATAAATTTATGTACCTTTGAAAAGGGGATGATAATAAACGTTGCAAACGAAATGTAGCAAAGGGGTGAAAACACACGGAAATGTCTTTGTGGCACGCCCACAACGTCTTTCAGCACTTTCCTGTCATTGTCTCACATTACCCCACGTCTCATTTTGCCCCGTTTTGACACCCCCACCCGCGTAGTTCAAACGTACACGACAATACCTTTCAATAGACACCCCACATGACAAAAGTCATTTTTTCAACATTCGCCTCCTCCCACACGGTCATGGAGTCATCGCACGTCGAAATGATGGCGATTTCTGAAATCCCCATCCAAAAATACGTCTAAAATGGTGGAAATGAAAAATTCGACACCTTTGACCGTTGGCATCATCATCGTGGCGCCGTGACCTTACGACCTACAACGCCCATCTTCGAACTCATCCCGTCCCCAAAAATTAGAAACACGTTGGCGAAAACCGGATGCCGAAATTCAAATCCGTTCTAAACTTATCGTGGATACGGACGGACAGACAGACGGACAAGACATTTCCATAAAGGGGTTTTCACCCCTTAATAAATTATGTCACGGCTGAGTGTGGTGGGGGTAAGGATTAGCGTGACAGGTTGATTTACGCCAAGTGTTAAAAAGGGTGTAACACTTGACAAAGGTGCTTAATTTTTGCGTGATATACTTAGTTGTAAGGGCTCAAGTGTCACTAGCTGATTGCTAAAAAACTACGCTGCAGAATTAAAATCTGATAAGTGCATTAGATTCGCCATGCGATTTACATTATGATTCACTATGGACCTTGTAATTTTTGAACATCTGGATAAATATATCAGAAATTGAAGAGAAGCGGGAGGCGATAGGTTTTCACAAAAAAAATCAAAGAAATATAGTGAATTTGATATGTGTTGAAAAAGTCGAAGGTGTACTTAAAGTTAGCCCAACGGACTATAATAAGGTTCATGGGGACCGTATCGACAAAGAACAGTTGAAGAAGAAATTTTTGAAAACCTCCGAGGACCACACCCATCGTGAAGCCTCTCAAGCCTGAAATCCGAAGAAATTCATGAAATTCCAACGGAAACCGGGCTCACTGCTGACTGTGTCGATGCAAATTATTCAATGAGTGCTTAAATTGAGGCTTATTACTGGACCAGTAATTTGCCCCTTGTTTGATATAATGATGAATTGCCGTTTTTGATTGGGAAAAACGTCTTGAAACCTCTCTTCCGGTTTTTTCCTGGACGCCAAGTTGCAGTACCTGAATGATTTCACCTTCCTATCGTGGTATTAGTTTAGTTTTACCGTCTGAACAAAAGGAGGAACGAGTGAGAATTAAAATTCGAAGGTGGTCTTATCATTTTAGTTCACCTACTTTTCAGCAATTCCTCCATATCCCCGGTAATTCCTAACTTACTCAACCCAAACTTACCACCAGAACTGGTAGTGATATCACCCATCACCATGCATAATATCATTCGATTCGAATAACCACGAACTGAGCTGCTTAGAAATATCATAGTGGTCTTAACATTAAAAATCACGCCCTAGAAGTGTGAAGGCTTTGAAAAAATTTTTGACCTCGGAACAAAACAAATTATCCACGGATTCAGAGCGTGCTTCAGTCAAGTACTCGAGGCCGCGTCTTCGACGCTGCATTAAAGCAATAGGAGGAAATTTCGAAAACTAAAAATTGATTTCTACTTAGAAATTAACTACCTTTCAGTTAAAATTAACTAGAAATTTGTAACGTAAAAACTATTGGGGCTACAGCGTTTCATTTCACTTACAGTTAGCTTGGGCATACTGTGTACAATGCCGGAAACCGATTTTAATTATCTCGATCCGTTCTTGATTATCCTGCTTACCGACAGACAGACGGACAAAGGCTTCACATAAAGTAGCTAAAGCTACTAAATAAGTTCTGAAACACGTGAACTATGAAACAAACTACATACACTTTGTGAGTTTGTATTTCTACAATTAAAATTTGACGATGGTTTTACGCCTGCGGGAACATTACTAAATCTAAAAATTTTGGATCCTAACAAAATTAACAATGTATGTATGTAAGATTAAGTAGCTACACTAAATTAGATTAGGGCAAACAGTGTGAGTCACAATAACCAATAGTCCTGATAATTAACATGGAAATATTAGCGTTCAAAATTTTGAATAATAACCAATTACAAATTTGTTATTCAAAGTAGCACGAAAAAACTTGGGCCAATACGTCTTGCCACATTTGCCAATCGAATTTCATTTCCTGCAAAATCAAAAAGTAGAAAAATTTAGAATCCCATCGGGACGAATTAAATCAACACCATTTAGGATTCAGAGTTTTGAAAAACGTTTTCGAAAGGGTGAAATTATTTTCCAGAATGGGATATTCACTTGGAGCAACCGAAACTTACCAGGAGGGCCTTATTGATCCCGCGAATACTGCGTTCTCGAATCTTATCGTGAATTTTGGGCTCCATTTTGGCAAACATTTTAAGTCCCATTGAGTTAATTATTTCGTTCCAGCGCTTAGTAATCATGGATCCGGTGAGGCCTTGAAATTTCACGTTAATTTGGGACATGCCGAGACCAAAGTCGAATTCCTTAAGGACCAATTCGCCTTCGTCGGAAAAACCAATTTCGATATGGACCTGGGTCTGGATTTTGTGCGATTCGATGACGACGCGACCTTTACCGTAAATCGGGATGGGAATTACCATCCGACCGAAGCCTTTTATGTGGTATTTTCCTAAATTTTGGATTTTGTTGAAATTCATGAGAATTAATATGTAAATTTAGTGTTTTAACTTGTAATGACACGCACCTGACACGGTTAGTTTATCGAGATAGACGGACAGGTTGGCCGACATGCCGATTACGTCGGTTTTGATATCTTGAACTTCAAAATTGGAAAGACCAGTGATGACGATTTCCCTGAAATTGTAAAAATATTACCAAATTTGGTTACCATAATTATCTGTAATTTCTCTGTTTCGACACTCTAAGAAATCCGGTATTAAAATAATTCTAAGCAGTATTCAAATATTTATGACTCTACTAAAATATTTATCAGTAAGAATGTGTAGTACAATGTATGCAGCTCGGTATTAAAGTTTTAGCATACCGGTAGAAAATTTTTATGAAACTGTATAATTATAATAGGTATTTGCGAAGCGGTAGCAACTTTACTACCGAAAAATCAGTACCAGATTTTTAAGTGTCTAAATGTTGTGAATGCATGCGGCTCATTTTGTATCCTTCAAAAATACTAATTTAGTAATTTGCACATTTACTCACGTGATATTTGCCGCCACATTATAATTATGTTTCGTTCCGACGAGATCCATTTCCATTTTGGGGATTTGAAAGGGTTCCATGGACGGAAGGCCGGGTGCTACGACGCCGTCCTTCATCTGTTTTTGCGTCTCGAGGACAAACTTTAAAATTATGATGGTCAGGGCGTCGTGTTCGCAAATATTTTCCTGGTCAAATTCCGGTGGCGGTGTTGGTCCCTCGGTCGTGGTAACTTCGGTAGTTTCCTCGTCATCATTCGACCAGAGAAAGTCGTCCCAATCCGCCCTCCCAGAGGGGACAAGTAAGGCGACAACGACGAGGAAAGTAAACTTGGAGAAGGGCATTTTCATAGAAATTGAAATTTCTACAATATTATTAATCTGAATTAATCTAAATTATTATTTGAGAGGATTAATTAATATTTTCACAAAATGTTTAATCTCAATTAACATCAATTTTTACTTTGGGAGGATTAATTTATATGTTTTCATAAACTCATTAATTTCAATTAATCTCAATTATTATTTCATGTGATTACAGAATTTATGTTTTCACAAAATGTTTAATTTCAATTAAAAATTAATTATTACCTATTACTTAATATGATTAATTATAGTCTAGTCAATTGTTACGTTATATTTCACTTTGAACTTATTTATTTCACGATTTAAATTGTAATTAATCCTGTTTTCGACAGCTTAATTAATTGCTGAGCATATTGCTAGATTATTTTATAAATTTCTTAGAATATATAAATTAACGCGGAAAAAGTTATTACGTAATTACGTAAGTTAATGCAGATAAGTACGTCGCAGATGATCAGTGACGATTCGAGATAAATAAGAGCATCATTTTTATATGGTTATACAAGACTTACTTATATAATTTGGGTGAAACACAAAATTCTTAATCCTTATCCAGGATGTGATTAGTAATGAATATGTCTGCTATATGCAAAGTGCTGTGCACTAAGGATGTTACGTATTACCAAAAAAACTGACGATATGTTTTGTGAATGCTCCTTCACGATATTTTTAACATTTTTCTGTGATTACCAAGAAAAATATGTAGGTACTCTCCATCCACCCAGGATTGAAGTTTTACAGAAATTTAGAATTCTGAGAAACTACGCATTGCCCGTCTCAAAGTTCCTTGTCAGTGTTATTTGAAGGAATTTAAGACTGACAGTGACGTAGTTTCTCATAATTCTCATTTTCTGTAAAAGTGCAATCCTACGTGGATGGAGAGTATTTCTGTATTTCTGGATATACATACTTACATACTTACTTATGTAAGAATGAGCAGAACTGGGTCCAGGTTAAGGTTATGGACCGTGCAGGAAAAATTTTGTACGAGTATGCGACACTAACACATAAATAATTTTTGCTATGCACAAACTAAATCATAAATTACTTTCAGATTCACAAAATTCTTGGTGCACGGTCCCTACAAAAATCAAACATTAATTGAAGTGAAGTTCTTAAGTAATTTTTATGGGTCAGACTATGTTTCGTATTTATGTGCATACATACATAGCTGTGTATTTACCTTTCAGTTAATGAGAAAAAATTTTATTAGTAAATATCTATCAATTGAATTCTGTTTAACCTATTTTTACCTCGATTCTTCAATATCCATGGAAACAGTATACTGAAAATTTGACGAAATTGTGCATGAAATGCAGGAAAATGTTAATGAGCTAGAAATGTGTCCAGATTTGTTCACATTTATAACGAAATTCATACCCATATCATATTGAAATTCATATTGATTTATTTTTACATAAATTTCACTTAAAAGTGAAATACATATGTACACAATTTTCGTAAATATACATTATTTTCATAAATTTTTCAATTTCATAAATATACATACTTATATTTATTGTTCACAATTACCTGCGTATTCTTCGTATCATAAAATAGCTTACGAAGAGAAAAATAGTGACCAAACTTTGTAAAAATCGGATTAGTATAACGCGATTCTTTATTATAAAATCTTACAACGTTTATAAAATCTCGTAACCGTCGTGAATTATTCTACGATACGAAGAAACAATAAATTCCCAATGATTTCCAGTTGTTCGTACACTCTTAAAAGTTACCCTCTTGAAAAGTAAATGCACGCTGAATTCTAAATTAATTAAACTATGTATACTAAATCCATAGTAAACTTTACTTGTTATCAAGTTAACGTTCCTCTGGATCTAGTTAAGTTGACTTCATTTAGGGTTTGGAGTGCATTTATTCTTCAAAATGGTAACACTATTTTTAAGAGTGTATTAAGAATGAAATTATTATTTTTTAAAATTATGCATCTATTTACAGGTCAGATCCGCACATTTCACAGACCTTCATAACTGATTGGTTGATGTAGGTGCAGAGACCACACTGAATTGGTGGCCCACCCGATCTTCGCGTGGTTTTTGGGGCTGATTCTTTCTCAGATTCTCTAAAGGCACCGCAAGCCTCGCAAACCTCAAGGGAATCCGGATTATGGAGCGTACAATACAAACAAGTCCATGAAATTAGGGTGAGATGTTCCTCGACCAATTGGGATAATGGCGGATTTTTCGTAGTTATGACACGGACACGATCGTCAAGGTATTCGTCGTCGTCCAGCGGGGGTGGATTTTTTGGGGGTGCGGGTGGCTGGTCGGGAGCAGTTGGCGGGGTGGCAATATTTTTAGGTGTTATGATTCGAAGGTCGTACGAGAATTCGTCATCGTCAAGCGGGGGTGGATTTTTAGGGGGAGCGGGGGGCGAGTCGGGGGAGATTAGCGGGCTGGCAAAAATTGGCGGACTGGTAAAAATTGCCGGGTCGACCGAAATTGGCGGGCTGACAGAAATTACTGAGCTTTCGATGATTGTCGGGCTGTTTTTAATTGGCCGGTCGACCGAAATTGGCGGGCTGGCAGAAATTGTCGAGCTTTCGGAAATTGGCGGGCTGTTTTTAATTGGCGTATTAGCAGAACTTAGCAGACTTTCGGAAATTTCTCGATTTGTCGATGTGACTTCAAAGTTTTTTCTTAGGCTTGGTTGCAACACTGGGTTGGATAGATTTTCCGTCGACCTTGCCCCCAAGATGGCGGGGATATTCAAATTTGCCGAATTAGAATAATTTAATGGTGACAGTTCCGTATTTGTGGAAAGATCCAGCATTGAGTGGAAATTTCTGGAAGAAAGTAGTCCAGCTTGTTGGGCGCGTCGTTCGAGAAATTGCCGACCAACGTCGGCCACGATTTCGCGCGTGGTCAACTTGGAAGTGGGCGGAGTTTCGTTGTCCGCAATTGACGAACTTGGCCCGGCTGCGGCATCTTTATAAGAATTAATATATTCGAGTTACACATTTTCAAAATACAAGAATTATAATTTTAAAAAATGATTGTTTAGATAAGGCCTAGTCCATATATTATGTTATCTGATAACAGTTATCATTTTCAATAATAAAGGGTAGGGTAAACTTCTTATCCTCTTTTTATCCTTCCTGTAATCCTGTTGGATTACGTTTCATAGATTTTAAATCTCACCCTATCCCTTTTTAAGGTCTTTACACGCTTTTAAATATCTAGTAGAGTCACATAGACACTCGGTATTGGTATTTACTTGGTAATAATTTCCTACCGGAGTGGTAGTATATTGTTCCTGAGTGGTAAATTTTTAATTACCACAACATTACTGAACGATAATTCCCGTTAATACCAGTGCCGGTTGAGTTACATATGTACTCCGGTCGGTAATAATTTAATACCAGTTTTCTAAGAGTGTATGTAAATCTCAAAAATGAGATCAGCTTTATGAGTTTTGAGATAAATGCAAGTTTTATGTAGTGCAAAACACCCTACGAGGTTATCAAATTGGGTGTACATACATTAAAATTAGGTTTTGGCTCAACCCACTTTTGAACGATTTTAGGATACAATTTACCTTAGAAGCGTGGTAGTGATGGAAATTTTAAGTATTTAATAAAATATTGACACCACGAAAGGCAAGAAATATGTATGTACCTGAGCGGGACAAAATCTGTGGGGATGTTGTAGCCGTGGAGAAATCGGTCATGGTAAAGCTTGGACGTTTTAGGTTGAGAAATTGTGACGATACAAAAGTAGAAGACGAAACTGACGGCGTGAAGGAGGAGCTTGTACTACTTGTGGGCAAAGTAGTTGTGGAATCGGCGGCAACAGGTGTAGTTGTCGACGTAGAAAGTGTAGAAATGGGGGACGAAGCTGTGTAGGAAAGGGCAGAAGGGGTAAAAAAGGAGGCAGAGGATGTAGAAATGGTGATCAGAGATTTGGAGGGCGAATTTGTAAAAATTGCGGCCAAAGGTGTTGAGGATGAAGTCGATTGAGTAGAAGTGGAGGTCGAAGGTTTCGAGGATGAAGTCGATTGTGTAGAAGTGGAGGTCGAAGGTGTCGAGGATGAAGTCGATTGTGTAAAAATGGGTGTCGAGGATGAAGTCGATTGTGTAAAAACGGGTGTCGAGGATGAAGTCGATTGTGTAAAAACGGCTGTCGAGGATAAAGTCGATTGTGTAAAAACGGGTGTCGAGGATGAAGTCGATTGTGTTGAAATGTTTGTCGATCGTGTCGAGGATGAAGTCGATTGTGTAAACACGGAGGCCGAAGGTGTCGAAATAGTGGCCAGGGGTTTAAAGGTCGAAGGTGTGGTAGATATTTCCCTTGTTGTTGCAGTGGTGGAACTCGCTGTCGACGCGCTCAATGTAACTGGACTCGTAGAACTATTTTCTGATGACGGTTGCGTTGTTAAAGATGGTCGCTTAGCCGATGACTTCGCAATTTGCGACATTTCCATCCATGGCATCGCTTGAACCCCAATTTTGCGAATCTTAAACAATATTTCTTGCTTACTAGCTGTAGGAGCTTGCTCGGCATCATGTGATCTCTTAATTTTGGCTGGATCTTCCCTCGCAACCCATTTGCCGTTAATCTTCTCCCAGACAAGACCATCATCATTTTCGGCGTCATATTTGTCACCGTGATCATAATAACTTTCTACGTCCCTGTCGTTACGAACAATTTCTACCGCACCGTCGTCTTCATCAGTTATCGCTTCAAAAATTGGAGGTTTACTATGAGCATGCGCACTAGGTGACATTGGAGTCAACTTTCGTACCCGGGCAGAGTTTAGTTCTTCTTGATTTTTCACAATCCGTGTGTATGGTCTTGGATTTTCCATTTGTGCGGATGGTTTAGTTTCAAAATCGCGTCGCAAAGTAAGCTTCGGGTAGTTTGTGGCTTGTTCAGCCGCCGAGAAACTTTCCGTCACTACTTCCGTAATAATGGGAGGAGTAAATGAAAAGAATTTCGCTTCCGAATTTCTTGTCGTTACGATTTGTCTGAAAAAGGGAATCAACGGATGTAATAAAGTAGTGAAAGATGGTGCTAAAATTTATGTTGGATATTGTATGTACAACATTATTGAATTGCTTGATTATTAGATTTAGCACTTTTGAAATGGGTCACGTCATCAAGTGGTTAACTTGCTCCATTTGAAAATTGTACGCCGATTTACAAAAAAAATTTAAGGGATGGACAGACAAAGAATGGGACGGACAAATCGGTCGCAATAAGTACCTCATCTATACTATTATTTTTTATAAAGAGTGAAGTCGCTTACTTCTCGGGCTCCTTCGCTGATGTCTGTTTTCCTTCAAACTCCTTCGCCTTTTTGTCACGTTCTGCTCGTTTTCTGAGCAAGTTGAGTATGAGTTTCTCTGCAAGCAGGTTTCTCGAGCCGCCAAATTCATACCGCACTTTGCACGTGGGACACAAGCCCTTGAGTTTGGGGAGGTGTTGAGAACAAATGTTGTGCCCGTTTTTGCACTGGTGGACCGGAATTTGGCACATGTCCAGGCAAACGGCGCACTCTAAAAGGTCTTCCAGGATTTCTTCACCTTCCGACATTTTCGTAATTGGGGGTGCTATAGCTACAATAAAACGAAAAATAGAGATCTACATAAATTTGGGGAAGTGCATGTTGAATTTGATCGATTTTTTTGCGAAGGAAATTGCACAGTTAATTATTTAGCAATTTTCCATATATCCGAATGTTTTTATTTTTGTTAATATTTACATGTTTTACTGTAAAATCCAACCTGTAACAAGATACTTTTACAGATTTGCGTAAAAAATTGTCTATAATTTCATGTACCAGATTTCAAAACATAAAACCTCAGACTTTTCATATCTATGTACGACATTTTTAACCGGTATAAACCAAAGCAAATTTTTAAAACTCTTCAAAAACCTTGAAAATTTATGAAATTCTATCAAAACCCATAAGAAATCAATTCTTTCAAATAATCGAATCGATTAAAGTTGTTGAATCACGTGAATAAAATGAATACCTATCGTAATTAATTATTTGGATGAGATGAGGCCTTACTTTTGCTGAAAAATAAATTCCTTTCAGGTGTGACTGGTTAGAGAGTGATGTGTAAGTATGTCTGGCGTAAGGACGAAATTGTGTACTGGTCAGATTGGAATGTGATGATGATTTAATACGGTCAGATGATAACTTCACTGTATGCACAAAGTTATCAGGATTATTGTGCTTTTGTCTCGACCATGAACGAATGATAAGCTGTGAATATTTAGACATGACGAGCTTGCATGTCCTTTGTAAGTTAAATATGATTTAATTGAGCATTTACTGAACAGGTGGCTACGCAAATTAATTAGCGTATGAAGTAAAAAGTCCATGAAACCACATCTATTTTTAATGGGAAAGATGCGGTTACTTTTATGTATATGTACACTTGTTGAGACAAATTCACCAAGTGTGTTCAGAAACTTCGAAATTTTTTAAATGCCCAAAAATTTATAAGGTTAAATATGTAAGTAATTTTAGGTTTGTCGACATGTCCGCAATTAGATTTATTGGCGTTTTCCCATCTGCTGAGCTCTACGAGCGAGATATTGACGCCCCACCTCCTCCACAATTTCTCGCGTGGTCATTTTGGAAGTCGTAGCTACAATTCTGCACTGCGGCTGAATCGTGACGGTATCTAAATAGAAATAATAAAGTTAGTTTTCTACGATTTTTTGAATCTTTTCAAAATTTTGTGAACTTAGGTACATAGTTCTTGTTTATGATAATACCCAAAAAGGTTATCATTTCGAGTACACTGTTAGAAATCCGGTAGGGTCAGGGAGGTATTAATTTATCTGTATTAAAGTTGTTACTGCTTGGTATTTATTGAAATTATACCGGTCCGTAAAAATTTGATGCCACTATTGTAAAACTTTAATACGCGGTTATTACTACGCGGTATTATTTATCAATACCTAGTTGGTAGAGTAATATACATACATGTATGAATACCGCGTGGTATTATTTTAATACTGGATTTTTAAGAGTGTTTATAGATATGTATGCTTGTACATATGTATGTATTAAAAAATTGTCTTGCCTAAATATATCGAGCTGGAGGAGCTGACTGATTTTGGTATGGCTTGGTCGTCGATCTTGGTCGTCGATGTGACCGCTATGGTCACAGGTGTGATTATCTTGATCATGGGTGTGACTGCTTTGGTCACAGGTGTGCTTATTTTGGTCGTGGGCGTGACTGCTTTGGTCACAGGTGTACTTATTTTGGTCGTGGGCGTGACCGCTATGGTCACAGGTGTGGTTATCTTGGTAATGGGCGTGACCGCTATGGTCACAGGTGTGGTTAGCTTGGTCGTAGGTGTGACTGCTTTGGTCACAGGTGTGCTTATTTTGGTCGTGGGCGTGACCGCTATGGTCACAGGTGTGCTTATTTTGGTCGTGGGCGTGACTGCTTTGGTCACAGGTGTACTTATTTTGGTCGTGGGCGGGACCGCTATGGTCACAGGTGTGGTTATCTTGGTAATGGGCGTGACCGCTATGGTCACAGGTGTGCTTATCTTGGTCGTGGGTGTGACCGCTATGGTCACAGGTGTGGTTATCTTAGTCATGGGTGTGACACCTATGGGCACAGGGGTGGTTATCGTGGTCGTGCATGGGGTTGTCATGGTCGTGGGTGTGGGTGTGGTGATCATTGTCGTGTGTGTGGTTATCATGGTCGTAGGTGTGACCGCCATGGTCACAGGTGGGCTGATTGTGGTCGTCTGTATCGTTACCGTAGCCGTCGGTGTTGTGGGCGTCGTCACAGATGACGTCGATGAGGTTATCGTTGTTGCAGGTGTTGCCGTTACAATTGGTGACGACGTCACTTCAGGTATACTTGATTCCACCTCAGTACCAATCGTTGTTGGTCGTTGCGCCGAGGGCGGTACCGGCATCACCAAAAATCCAATCTTGCGAATTTTAAACATTATTTCTTTCTGACTTCGTTCTCCGCCATTCGAATCTGACTCCGTGGCACCATTCTCGATGGGATCCTCCAGTTCAACCCATTTCCCATCAATCTTCACCCAATTTTCATCTCTTTGATCCTCCGACATTTCGTTAGTCGATGGGAAGTAACTAAAAATAACATTATTTAATTGGGGCAATCCGACATCAATCCTATCTTCAACGATAAAAACTAACTAAGTTCAATTAGAATCGAATTGGATAAAATTTGAAATCAAGGAAACCGTTTAATTTTTGTCTGAGTGATTATTGATTTTTACATTTTTATTTATTTTTCTAAGATAAATATAACTAATTTAAAGTTTCTGCATTGCCAAGTTTCTTGTAAGAATTTAAGAAGAGAAATTTTTATTTACCAGTAAATTCAGAAATCATGCTAATACCGAAGATTTTTATGAATATAGAAACTACCAAATTCCTGGCAAAAAAATCTCTGTATTTATGCCGAGTTGAAATTTATATTTACCGTCGTGTTCACGCACCTTTCCAGAAATATTGAAATTATACAGGTGAATTTTTGTTGCCTTTTTTGTTCAAAATTTACAATATTTTTTTACAATAAACTGGTTAAACCAATAATAAGCGTTTAGTGGTTGCTAAGCAGGGAATGTATGTATTACAAAGTGAATCACTGTTCAGATTTGATTGCGAGTGTTTGACAGGCTTAATCGATATCGTCATGCTTATCGAAATTGGTATGCTATTGTTTCGATTCGGCAGTTAAAACCATATCCTTATTAGGCATTATGGCGAGATGATGTATGCATCATTTCGCTGATGTACATAAATACATACATACTCATTATTGACGCTTCATTGGCAGACTGTTTACACTTTCGGTATGTGAATATGGCTTACATTTCAAGTAATTTTATGTGATTTGATGAGATTTCTGCGAAGTGTGTGGTTTATGCTAAATTAATATGTCACCCTGGGGAAAAATTGAACAACTTCGTTTAATATAAGTACCTATGTATATCCCTTCTTGATTTAATTATAGCCTGATATTCGAATTCAGCATGAAATTCTAAACATTTTCATGCCAACTCGAGATGTTTGGACCAACTTACATGTTTAGCATTGAAATTAAATTGAAAATGTGACTTTATCTTAATCGTCGCAAGTCAGAGAAAAATACTCAGAATTTCATGATTAATCCAAATATCAAGATAGTTTATCTTAGAATGCAAATATTTTTAAGCAACTCCATTTTCTCCCCGAAATATCACAGATCAAAGAACCCACAATTTTTGCAGAAATTTTTGCAATATTAATATGCGAAAGTTGTCATGAGTATGCCCAATATCAAGCTTATGCATACTCGAATACATAATGAGATTTGCAGAGCCGATGATGAGTGTAAATATGGACATATTTTAATGTCGCTATATTTTAAATATGGAAAGATCCTGGGTTGCGAAAATTATGTACATACAGAATAGTCCATAGCTGTTCATTTCATTTCACCACAATCCACAAAACCACAATCCACAAACCAATCCACCAACTACAATCCACAAAACCACAATCCACAAACCTTTCCACAAACTACAATCCACAATTCCACAAACTACAAACCTTTCCACAAACTACAATCCATAATTCCACAAACCACAAAAAAATCTTGTCCACTTTCCACACCACAGTCCACTTTGTTGATCCACACTGTGGTTTGAAAAGCTACATATTCTAATTATGTAGCTTTCCATACATAATTAAACACGTGTTTCACAATTTTTCATAATGCTCAATTGCAACGAAGTTTTAATGGTACACGTGAACGACAATTTGCATTTTTACCGCGAAATTTGAAGATACAAATTCCCGCTTACGGATTATAACATCGTTTTCAGTGTGCATTATGGAAAATCATGAAACGTGTTTAATCATTTATCTAAGGCTATATCATTCACAAGAATGCCACAAAACCTAACCATAACTACAAACTACAGACCGGTCCACATTTTGGACCAGTCTGTGGTTTTGTGGATTGTAGTTGTGGACTCCACAACTACAATCCACAAGTCCACAAACCACAAACGCTTCCACAAGCTACAATTCACAAATCCACAAACCACAAAGCTTTCCACAAACTACAATTTACAATTCCACAAACCACAAAAAAATCGTGTCCACTTTCCACACCACAGTCCACTTTGTGGATCCACACTGTGGTTTGAACAGCTATTCAATAGTCAGTCGGAGTGAGTGACTCGATCAATGCATAACTTAACAAGTTAGAGATCGCATTTAATTTTGTATACAGCGTATGCATTTTATTAATTTATTAACACATGGATATGTATGTATATATGTGCATACATAAAGCTATCATAATTTATACTGGTGTTATTTAATAAGGTTTGAGCACAAATCATGTAGAGGACAGATTATGCATATATATAATTAACAGTAGGGGTCGTGCACAGTAGGTGCGATCAGTTCAGGCTGTCAGAACGAGATCCGTTTAAGTACCCCAGTAGTCATAGAATAAAGTACTATTCCAAAATTATGAAGGCGTTTAAAAATACGAAATATGTACATACACCATCACATTTAAACTGTACCTGTGCAATCTACGCTGAAATATTTAAGTATATGCTTAAATCATATATACATGTTTATGTATAAATTTCAACTTTTGTGTGGCTTAAACCAGATGTTATTGGAAGCAGATAATTATTACTACTCAATATTTTAATGCACACAAATTTTGCAAAATACTTAAATTGATATCTAAATAATACACTTGATTAAATAAATTTATCGCCATGAGTGGCCAGGTAAAGTATAAATTGACCTATTTTAATCAGCGAGCACGTGGTGAACCGATTAGATTAATCTTCGCCGCAGCGAAGGTTCCGTATGAAGATTTTCGGATTGAGAAGAGTGGCTGGGGTCCGTTAAAGGAGGGTGAGGGGGGAGAAATCTCATGTTTTAAGTTATATTGCTGGAGGGGAATTAATCTGATAATTATATACTAATTACATATGTACAGATTACCCTTGGGGTCATCTCCCCTTGTTGGAGGTGGATGGCGTCAAATTGGCAGAATCTTCCGCCATTTGCCGATTTTTAGGTGAGAGGTTCCATCTAGCGGGAGATAGTGAGTGGGACGCGGCCAAGTGTGACGAGTACGTGAGTGCCATGATGGATTTAAGGACAAGTAAACATTTTTGATTCTTTTTTATGAAAAAAAACGGGTTTTAAAATTGTGTATGTAATTTTTGGGTTTATAAAGACTTGAAAAGTTGTGGGGTTCATAAAATTTGACAAAATTGGCAAAAATTTAATTCGTAAATAGACATACGTACGTATATAAATAGATTCTTCAAAATGTTTTACATTTTGGTTGGATAAAAAAACCTATTAGTTACAATTTTTGGTGCTGCGGAAATTATAGCTTTTGGTTGGAACAAAATAATTTTTTTTTGGGCACTATAAATTTGACCTTTCTTTAAAATCTGATCAATTCAAACAGATATCGATTTTTCCTTATAAAGGTTGCTACCACTTGGTATTAAAATTATATATATATATATGTACCCGTTCGTAAAAATTGCATACCGGAATGGTAAAATTTTAATACCGGACAAGTATCACATGGTATCATTTAGTTAAAGTCATGCATGTGTACCGTTAGGTATTATTTTAATTCTACATTTGTCAGAGTCTACGTAATATTTCAAAATTTTTCGGAACTTTAATATTTCATAATTACATATATTTTCAGATTGGTTAGCCTTCTTGCGCGAATCGGATCAAGAAAGGAAGGCAAAATTGAGGAAGGAATTTTTGGAAGAGCACGTGCCCAAAAATTTTGAGAAATTTGACAAGATTCTATCCTCTTCTGGAGGAGACTTTCTCCTCGGAGAAAAATATACCTGGGCCGATTTACATGTTGCTCATAATTTTGCATTTTTTGAAGAATGTGTGGATTCAACTATCTTATCGGAGTATCCTCGACTTGCAAAATTTGTCGGGGATGTGTTTGCCATTCCGCAGATTACAAAATGGGTCGAGACTCGCCCACAAAATTCTGATAAAGCGATTTTTTTCAACAAGTAAAAATTCATTTGTTCTCGTCTTAATTATGTTACTCGTGATAAAACACGTGAAACTTATTTGTATATCGAGAAATATAATACCAAATAAAATTGAACAAAGTAAATTAATTATGCATAATATCTGTAATTGGCAACTTAAATAATTATCATAATTAATTGAACACGTTTTGATTTTTCGATCTGACAATACTTTATAAAATGACACTTGAACACTTTATAAAATACGACTATACGAATTGCTGTCTAACCTTGAATAACACAACAGGGAACTGTATACAACTTTACCGAAGTAATCAAGAGAATAAGACATGTGAATTCATAATTTACATTTACATATACATATAATAAGAATACGTTGAATTATTTATAAATTTTCCGCCTAATGAAATGTAAATAATAAGTCCTTACCTGAAATAAAGTGATAAAATATTGTCATTATATGAGCCAAGATCAATGCATCTATTTATTTATTACCCTATTAAATATTCCTTAAGCATTTTGATGAGTGAATTTGCACAAAATAATGTAATCCGGATTTGACAACATACGTCAGGACGGAATGTAAATATGTACATCTGTAGACGTCTGCTCTCAGAAACGTATCTTATTCAAACGAAATGTGTCTGAAGCGAAGAAAAATATTAATTTCCTAACAAATTGAAATCTATGTATTACATATTTACATAATACTTTGGGATCTGAAATTAAATGTTCACCATAACCACTTCGTATTGAGGAATAATGGATACAAATTTTACATTTAGTATAATAAATATGTACGTGAACACTTATGTACATATGTATGTACACGTATTATTTTATTCGCAATAATAAAAATATATACCTAGGTAATGAATATGAAATACACCAATTTTGCTTAAACAAATTGTTACCATCTGGTAAAGTTTCGTACATAATTATCTATAAACTTACTGTTCATACCGAGTGTGACGTTGCTAATTGTATATATTTTTAAAAATCAATGCTTCTCCGAAATCACTACCAACCGCAAGACTTGCATATTTTAACAAACAAAAAATCTGTGCGGAGAATGACGCAAATTAACTTTATTTCTGTACACTTTATTGTATCATTAGCCAACTGGGTAAAGAATGATGAAATTTCAAAACAAGAATTTAATCGTGAATGAGTTACCATATTATTTACCCAGGTGCAAAATGTTACTGAATATTTCTCCTTAGTAAATACTACGAATAGGATGCAACCCGGTATAAAAACAGATCCACGCAATGTCACCAAGTCAGATACAACTTTTTGCTTAGCAAAAAATAAATCAAAAACATGAAATTTATCGTAGTTTTCGCCCTTCTCGTTGTCTCCGTGTGTGCCGCGCCACACAGGTTCGGTGGACGCGACAGCGGTAAGATTTAAAAAGAAATCTCATTTTACCCCAAAATTATTGGACAAACTCCCGGGAAATTTAATTATGTGTAATATATTCTTTGTTACAGGTGAGATGCAAGGATTCCGTCCATTCGGGGGACAACGCCCACCACCAATGTTCGGCGGGATGGGACCATTCGGCGGTTTCCGACCATTCGGCGGGATGAGACCACCATTCCAACAGGGTGGTCGACGACCATGCAGTTCCACGGCGGCCCCACAGACCACCACGTCCGCTGGTACGACGACCACCGCTGCGACCACCACTACCGCAGCCACGACCACGACCGCTGCTCCATCCACGACCACGGTTGCGACCACAACAGCTGATACGACCACGACAGCGGCTACGACCACGACAGCGGCTACGACTACGACCGTTGCTCCTTGAATTAATCGACTAGTTTAGCGTTGCAACTTGATTAATTGGCTGTGTAATATTTTAAATTTAAAATAAAACTTGAAATTCTTGCAAAAATGAAGGAGTATGTTATTTTTTGGTATTTGCATAGCTTAATTTGGTCAGAATTCACCTTAATATTGGTTCGGAATAACGGATGAGTTAAGTTAAGTTTGGAAGTAATATGGATCTATAGCCCTACGGTTACAAGTCAAATGAGCCGTCTAAACATACATATGCGTGTGATGGAGCTGGGAATCGTGTGTGTCAATGATTTTGTGTAAACTTGGATCGGTACTATTTGCCCATATATTTAGAGGTTTATTTAGTCAGTAAAAATAGTGTACAAATTAATTGTGGGGCAGATGAGACCGATGGAGAACAGACCGACCGTGACTGGTTGACATTGGGTAAAAGAATGGATAGGAATGATAATGATAATTTGGGTTTTATAGGAGGCCGGTCAAGGTGATCAGAGTTGTAAAATGGAGTAAAATGGAGACATACATAATAGGATAATTGAATTAGTTATGAAATGAGTTTACAATACATTGACTTAAATAGGAGTTTGAGAATGGTTCATAATTAAATTAGTCCGGAGATTAAAAATAAGGGAAATTAGTCATGAGATACAATAAGTTAAGATATGGAAAAACTGCATGGTATTCACTTTACAAACGTTGATTTAGCATTCTTAACAGCGTGCTTATGCAACTCAACGTTCTTATTTTTACCCTTTGAGCTGTTGACGAAATCTATGTATACCCTTGTTACCGCAATACGAAAAGCTCAACTCAGGGTATGCTACCCCGGGTTTTTGGGATATTGGGGTTTTGTGAGGTTTAGTGGGTTTTGGGGTAGCAAATCTGAGCAATACCCACGGGTTGTCCGGGTAGTCGGGATAGTCGGGATTTTCAAATTTAATAAAGTATTATAACCGGGAATTACTAATAATTCTAAAGTTAATTAGTTATGAAAATTAAATTAATAAGCGGCTGTGTTCAGAAATTACTTAAAAAGCTGAATTTTTTCAAAACCTAATACATGAGACACAGACTCAGTTTACCCCAAAAAACCCCGACTACCCGCAAAACCCAGGTAAAACCCCTGGGTATGGGTTTTCAATAGCAAAACCCCGGGGTTTTCCTTACCCTGGCTCTACTACCTATCTACATACTAAAGGATAAGGATAAATTAAAGATTGATGTCAGTAAGTATGCCAAGCTGCTTTAATTTAAACATGGGAAGCGGTGAAACTGTAGCTTTATTATCCAGATTGAATTTAGTTTTACATATATCATTTCTAGCAAGAACAAATAATCAATGTATGAAATTTAAAGTAAGACCTTATTCTCCCTTCTAAACTAATTATCTAGAAGAATGAAAGGAAATTAAGAACTATCACCACAAGAAAGGAGAGGTTCAATAAAGTCGGTGACAAAAAGATGTCAGTTAACCATTGGAAAATTACTAGGTTAAATCAATCGTATACATACTTCATCCCTCAATTTGAACTAATCTTAAACTACAAGAGCACATCAATCGTATTCTTTGCCAGGAGCAATCGGTAACTCTGGACACGAAATTGAGAAAGTATTTTGGCTGAATTCCGTTCCTTATGGTATCCACGGATCCAATCATTTCCAAATTTATCCAATTGGGCAGCAGAGATTTCAATACTTTTCGTCTATACTTATTTGTACCACCTTCATATTTGGACATCCTGTGAAGATACTCTTTTGATCCAGTTGACGCTAAAGCGATGAAATTTACCACGAACCATTCTGTCGTAGATATGGCGACGATGGCGCCAAAGGTTGAAAAAAGTATGAAAAATGACATCGGTTCTTCAGCCATTATCAGCTTGAGTAAAAACCATATTGCCAGACTGGAGTATATCACGAAATAAAAATGGTGCATGCAGGTATGCACGAAATCTCGAGCCAGTTCAGAATGCAGGATACAAAGGATGCGGAGACTTTTGTAGATTTTAATACCTTCCTCGTAACTCAATCCACCGCGGAGCATACCTGCTAAATAAATACATACATATTCCTTTATTCAAAATTCATTCGAGGTCAAGATTTAAATAAATATTAATCCCCTCACATAAGTACTTATTCATTATCTATTTTTTATTTATGTAATCTCAAATTCGCCTTATTAAATCAATTTCTCAATCTACCCCACATATTTATGTACGGGGTGAAGAAGGAGTAAAAACCTTCAGTCATTATTCATGACTATTCATGAGATACATAAATGAATATTTTAATGATGGTATTCATTAGGTACCTACGAGTTTGTACCGTTTTGCAACTCAAGCAACAAAATAAACCTCGGAAGTTGGTAAAAAAACCTTTGCTACACACATGCGTATATTATTTCATTCAAAAATTTCGAAAAAACAATATTCATTCATATTGGAATTAGTGATGATTTGATAATGTATTTATTTTATACTGACAATGGAGGCGCAAACCATGTTCAGCCCAGATAATTTTTTGACCTTATTAGTTTGAAAGAGCAAGTCTTTACAAACAACATTTGGTTCGGCACTTAGGCAGATGCTCAGATTTCAGCACGTTATGGGCGCCGCAAGTTCGCAAAAATGCACGTTTTTTCGGGAAATGCCAAGCGCGAGCTCAACTTAGTGACATTAGACCATTATTTGGCATAAGTGACCTCATTTACAACCACACCCCACGGCCTCACCAGCAGGCCTTGAACCTTGATGAGTACATAAGTGTTAACTGAATTTATGTAAGTCATAAAAGGAATAAAATATGTTATCTCCCACAAGTAACCTACATAATGGCATACGTACATAATCCCGTACGTTAATATGTTTCGAATTAGGATATTTACTCATGAATACATAAATTGTGATTATTTCACAAGGGAAAAGTGTCATGTATTAAATACATACATATGTAAAAGTTGTAATGATTAAGGTTGAACAATAACTGATAACTGATAACGGCTGTAAATGATAACATGTTTCTGGAACTCACTTCTGACTCAGGCATGAATTTGTGCATGCAGCAAACGTTTTCCGGATTTTAGTTGTGACGACGTTAAAAATTAGCAGCCAATTTGTAGTAGGAATTTAAAAATAAAATCCAGAAGTTAATACATCTCACTAAAAATTGTTCGGAATAAAAAAAGTAAGTGATAAAATTATATTGACAAAACCCTACCGTCAACCGTGTAGTCCGCATCGTAATATTTGTTGAAGTAAAATAAAGAATTGAAATATTTATGTATTTAAAGCGTATTTATTACATATAAGAATAACTTAGTTTACATCTAAGAACTTTACCGAGTTGAGTTATTTTTTTCAATTTCAATTTCAGGTCCACACTGTAATTTAAATCCAGTGGAAAATTTCCTTCGGGGTACGTTTGGGTATACCATTCAGTTTTTGTGGAAACTTATAAATAGGGTAAAATGCTCAAAAACTTTGTAATTTTAATAATATTTTTAAAGTCCTGTTATCGTCCAATAATATATAACGCTTACTTAGTCTTAATTGAGTAAAAAAAATTATAAATGCATACATACAAATGTACATATTTTATTTCATGTGAAAACAATTACAATACAAAAATAAGTTAATTGATTCATTGAAAAATTCCAGATTTTGACAATACCACTCATCCGTGATGGAGCTAAATATAGTTGATAACTTTGTTCAATTTATTGCAAATTGTGTAAGTTCATTTTTGGATTTTTTGCATCGGATTACACCGGAATACAGGCCCCTGCGTATAATTTCAGAAATTGCTAAAGAATATTTAGAACAAAGCAACCACGCAGATCTACCCCAGGATCTATTTTCGTCTGTGATAAGTAATGATAATGTTATAGAATTTTTAAATTTAAATAACGAAGTAAAACTTAAGGAAACTAGTGAACCATTTAAATATTCACTTGCATACGGTTTTAATAAAAACATGGAAAATCTAGCTTCTTATTTATTTGAATTCCCAATTGTCGAATATTCTATTGAGGCAGCCAAAATCAAACAGGTTTTTAATGATCATATTGCTCCAAATTGTAAAGATATATATACCAATTCAACAATAAATAGAAAAATATCACGTGATGTAGCCGTTAAAAAAAGACTTGGAAAATTGTGCGACGGATATTTATTCAATAATGCAGGCTTTCCTAATGTAGATAAAAATATATTTAAGGGAATAATGCAGGTACATACAGATATGATAGATACAATTAAAAAAAAGGAGTTTATAATTAAAGTTAAAAATTATATGAAAACAGAACACCTAAATTATTATCACAACCGTTTTCAAGATGAGTTAGCTCAAATTATTAAAACTAATTTAAAAGAAATTTTACAAAATAACAAATTTCATATTATTTCACCAAATTATGTTTTCGATGAAGAATCTAATGATGAAAATGATTCTGTTTTTTGGTCAAAAATATTCGCTTATAGCGATCTCCATAGACAAAACTATTATATTTGGAAGGAATTGCTTTCAAATTTAAATCCAAAATTTGACGGGGTTGTAAAGATGGTAGATTGGAATTTAAAAAAATTACAACTTAATGTCTACGAGACTATAACAATTTCTAACAAATTTAATTATGTATCATTCATAAATTATGCTGGAAATTCAACGTTCAAAGATTTGCATGAAAAGTTGAAGCAACTAGTGGCTGAAAATAATTTAAAAAATGAAACTATTGTAGAAAACATCAGAACGTTTTTATCTGACGGAACCCTTCCCAATATTCCAGAAATGTTTCACGCCTTTTTCGCTACTTTTCTTATCCATTTATTTGGGCTAGAATGTAGAACAAATTCACTAGCTTTGGTTCATATTTTGATGGGTTTAGATATTCTAAGATTTAACCCTGATTCTAGTTTAGATTGGATCACGACAAAATTGCCGTGTAGTATAAGTGGAGCGAAGAAAGTTGCTAAATATATTAAATCTCCATTAAATAAAATAGATGATAAAATATTGCAAGAATATATTGCAAAAGAAAACGATTTAATTAATGAGTGGAAAGCTAAAGTTCTTAAAGATGGTGAAGATTTTAACACAGTTCTTTCCGACAATGTTAAATATTATTTGTCACGTGATTAAATAAAAAAAAATTATAAATTATGAAAAATTGAATACAATAAACTTTAAAATAGTATATATATATATGTAAATTATTTTTAAATTCGACTTTTTAAAAATTAAGGTTAGGAAATTTAATGTACGACTCCTTTGTAGTCAGCTTTTCTGATGTGTAATTTATGTAATGTGTACCTATATACAATAATACTGAAAATATTGTGAATAATTTGTCATTACATATAAAAGTTAAACACAGAGCCAAGGAAAGAAAAAATGTAAATTAGTCAAGTTAAATTTCTTTCAAATTGTTGAAATGAAGCAAAATTAAATATTACAATAGCATAATTTCTACTTAATAAGTATTTATTTAAGCATTAAATTAATTTGGACGAGTGGAACGAGTGAACGAGTGGAACTATCACATTTCCAAAATTGTGTGTCAAGCTGTGGGTAAATTGTATCAATTAAAAAAATTATTTAAGTCTGGTTTTTCTGTTCCCGAATTAATTCACGCTTTTAATGTGTATATTAGATCTGGTTTAGAATATTGTGCAGTTGTTTGGGGTCCCGGTTTACCAGCTAAACTTGTTCACAAATTGGAACGAGTGCAAAAAATTGCGCTTTCCATTATTTTAAGAAAACGGGTTGATCATAGCAATTATGTCGATGTGTTGAATTCGTTTAAAATCGAGTCTCTTGAAATGCGTAGAGACATTTCACTTAAAAGATTCGGGTTTAAACTAGTTATTGGTCGTTATTCTGCTTTTTTGCCTAATTTTGATACTTGTTCATCTGGTATGATGTTAAGAAAAACTAATATTATTCATCAGGCCAATATTAAAAATGTAAAATATTATAATTCGACATTACCCACATTAATTAGATTAATTAATACCGAATACAGGGAAAAATGCACTATATTTAGTTGCAAATATGAAACTATTTTAACGCTGAGAGAACAAAACTTGTTGTAAGTGTGTATTTATAAGTATTATTAAGCATTATGTATAACTAATAGTAGTGGCTTAGAGAGTTTGTAAACTGTCGAAACCATGTATGATGCTTACTTAAATTAACTAATGTTGGTAGAGTCTCCTTCTCTAATTTGTAACATGAGATGTTTTTTTTGTATCACATATTATGATAAGATCAGTATAATAAATACTATTATTATTATTATTATTTGGCGTAAAGCAATTTAACAATGCATACACACATGTCTTTATTCTGTATTTTATAATTTATAGTAATACATAAATTTTGATAATAGTGATATTTAATTTATACTAATTTTAATTTAATTTTAATTTATATAATTTAATTTATACTCTAAAAAGCCGAAATAAATATAATAGAAAAAAAATATTCTGATGTATAATTTTGCACCAAAGAAGGTGCAGAATAAGCCGATAACATACAGTAGATTTTCGTAAAGTTTGGAAAGCTTTAAATTAAAAATTGTCCCCAATTCATAATGTGTTTATTTCATTGATAAAAATCGTAAATTCACACTCATCTTCATCGGATTGCATCATGTTTTTGATATTTTTAATTATACCACCCACTGTACCAGTGGTTTGACAATACATAATCTGAATTACTGCCGATTTACTTCAAATTCTAAGTTCAAACTTGTCATTTCTAGTTGTTTTTTAACATTGATAAATTTAAGAGGCTGACCTTATATTTTCCCAGCCACGTGTGAGCAAACAATTACACATAGTTTGTACAGAGTAGCTATTCCATCTTAAATATAAATAATTGCTTAGAATTCATGTAAGGCAATTTCATAGACTCATTTTTAAGGAATATTTACATATTTATGTCTCGTATAAATAGACATACATATGTCTATATATAACTACTAATAAGTGGCTAATGTACATACTTGTCACATTTTGTTTGCAAAGTTTCATGCAGATAACTACAGTGTAAGTTTCGCCATTAGGGGTTGTCAACTTTCTTAGTAGTATTCCACAAAGGTACAATCTTGTGGAATGTATAAGTCGACCTATGTAAAATTAGGACAATTAAGTACTCAAATTCGAAGTGATATTGATGAATTTGATTCTGCGGCGTGACTTTGGAAAACCTAACTAGGTCAAGTACACAATCTGTGAAGGAGGCCGCGTCCATATTAAAATGGCGGCATTTTATCTGCAATATAAAAAATGCTAATTGAGAATTATTCGATTGTGTACTGGTAACCATGCTTAAGTTTTTTAAAATTAAGCACAATTTAAGAAATTCCACTTGAAAAATGCCCACATATTTTGCGAAGTATTTGGTTTCACTGTAACCCAAAATTTTATTCTCTAAACAAAAGTGTGTATGTAAATTGATTTCCTCACCTATGAAACGTATAATGTTTCCGAGACAGGGACTCTAGGTGACCTAATATCAGTCGTGAGCACTGCAAGTACACCAGAGAGAGACATGGTGTTGACCTTTCCTTAATTTAGAATATTCACTAATTATCAATTATCACTTATATTTATTTTTTTCACGGTTAGGGAACATCCATATATTACGTCATCATTTGAGTTAGTTTAGCCTTCCCATCTTTCAAATGTCAAAATTCCACGTCTCTTAATGTATACGTTAGGTGGGTGGGTGCTAAAATCGGGAATTTTTGATGACGTTATATATGGATGGCCTGGCCCATTAGTCATTAAAAAATCGAAAATCTTGATTCAAACAATATATTTTTTTAGATGAAAAAATTCTGGTACTAATTTTTTTTAGTACCAGAATTTTTTTCCATTGGTGACAATCATTACCTAAAAATCGCATTATGGTCCATTCACAGATGACGATTTATTTGTCCTCAAATTATTTACCGAGTCAATCTCACCTCGTCCTTTCTCCCCCATACTGAGCTAATCTTCCTGGCGAGAAAAGGAGAAAAGATGTGGTATGCAAAACACTTTTCTTAAGGCGAGTTACACATATCTGTAGACATATCTACATATGCATTTTTTTAAATTTGGATTTTTTTTTAAAATTTACCTACACTCTTAGAAATAGGGTGGCGATTATAACCAAAAAGTTAACGTATGTATATGACTCTACCGAGGTGGTTATGAATTTTTTACGAACTGGTTATAAATTTATTAGCTCTGGTGACAATTTATAGCTACGGCGATACAGTCGCATATATACGTTTACTTTTTGGTTATTATCGTAACCCTATTTCTAAGAGTGTACTACTAACTATTAATAAAATAAAATTGTGCGTACCTGATCCTGATTCCTTCTGTGTGAATAGATACTTGAATAGTGTATGTATTTACATACAAATGTACATACAGTCAATGGAAAAAGTATTGGCAACCCCCACGCCAGCTAAATAAAATTGGCTGTAACGTTGGAATGCATTATACAATTGGCATGAAAATTTGTACGCCTTTAGAAAATATAATGTAGTTTTCGATTATAGTCATTTGTTATTGATTAAAATTAGATAAACACAGTTTTTAAATAATTTGTTGGAAAATTTGCAAAATTTACCCGCAAAAAGTATTGACAACATGTGGCCAAATTAATTACGCGAAACAATTTTCTTAATAAGCTACCACATTTCATTACGGTAAGTTAATAAGGTGACCAAATATGACGTTACGACATTTTAAGTCTACAGTTGTGTTGTCTGGAGCCAAAATGGCGACACCAAACGAGCTGTATTGGCGCCGGGAGAAATAATCATGTCTCTTTCACAAAAAAACTTTCTTATCGAAAATTCAAAGAGAAAACATACTTTTCCATATTTACTATTGAAAACGTAGCCAAGAAATATAAAATGACAATCTCAGTTCCTACTTTTCCATGGTGCGAAAGGAAAAAGTACGCCCACGCCCGCCTACGCCCACGAGCCACTGATGAATCAAGCAAATTATCACTCGAGATTGGAAGACTTCAGCTCCCAAAACCATGTTGAATTTGAGAACCAACTGTGGGTTCAACATATCATGCAATATTGTGATCAATCAAAAATCATGCCATGGGGTTATAGGGTCCAGAAGCCCGACTGACGCGAGGGTCACCAAAACGAACCAACCCAATAAATTGGAATGGACTAAATACCACCATGAATAGACTTCCAATGAATGAAAAAGGTTCTGCTGGTCTGACATAGGCATATTTTACTTATTCGGAGCCAATTGAATGGTTCAAGTCTGGCGGATGCCATAATAGGCTCACAAAAACGAATATGTTCCTATGACAACTAAACACAGAAGAGGAGCGATTATGGTTTGGGGTTAAATGACTAGGTCTTGGCGTAGGTAGCTGGTCATTATCGATGGAATAATGACTAATGAGGTCCAAATAATCATTCTAAACGATAATTTGATATTATTCGATAAAAATCTGACCTATTAAAGAATTTTATATTCCGAAAATTCAGTGACCCCAAACATGTAGCCAATTTAACGATGCAAGGTTTTGGAGATTGAAAAGGTTAAGATTCTTTCGTTGATTGCACAGTCTCCCGATGTGATTCTGATTGTCCGGATTGAGAAAAGAGGGACTGGTGAGAAACCACTCTTCGAAAAACGACCTTGTAAAAAGTTCGAAGGAAATATGGGCAGCCGGATCAAAAAGCGTTATAAAGAAACTTGTTGAATCAATTCCACGACGTATTTTTGCTCGTATTGCGTCGAGGGGAGGTGCTACGTAATACTAGAAGCAGTTTGTCATAATAAAATTGGCGTTTCTTTGATTTATGATTTTTTAAGTTAAGGGTTGCCAATACTTTTTGCGGGTAAATTTTGCAAATTTTCCAGCAAATTATTTAAAAACTGTGTTTATCTAATTTTAATTAGTAAATCATGATTATAATCGAAAACTACATTATATTTGCTAAATGGGTACAAATTTTCATGCCAATTGTATGATGCATTCCATGGTTATAGCCAATTTTATTTAGCTGGCGTGGGGGTTGCCAATACTTTTTCCATTGACTGTATGTAACTACCGGAAACGGGTGATAATTATAGTATATCTATAGAAAAAGTATTGCAAATTGAGATAAATTTCACATAATGTAATGAAAAAATATTTAAAATTTTGCATGTTCAGTCTAGTCCAACGGGTCCTACCGTGACGGTTGGACTGACTCGAATTCTTTACAACGTCTAAAAATATGTATGTATATATGGTTAAGCTATGAGATAGTGAATGAATAATGAAGGAAAAAGCTCATTAGTTTCAACTTCTAGATGCCATAAACCTGGTTGCTACGCTTAATGTGAAGAGACAATTAACAAGATCGTAAAAGGTGGAAATCTTAAATTGGAAGCTATGAGCCACACTTTAAAGTGTGGTAATTAATTGGTAATTCTTAAATAAGAATTCCGCTCACCAGTGATATAAACGACTTTACGGGGGTTTTGCCACGTTGGTGGTGGGGTGGCGTGCTTCTGTGTCGTTATCGAGTACCACCGAGCAGTGGTGGGTTATTTTCATGTGGTGACCATTCGGTAGGTTTTTGTAGGGGCGAACCGGTGATACAATTTCTAAGAGTGTGGTCAATAAAATGGACATAATTTGAGACAGATTATTACGCGAAGAAACTTCTCTAACTGGTCGTAATAATGTTTCATTCCGCATGTATTTCATGTTTGTCAAAATCTGGCAAACACGCTCATCATAAAATCCTAGTCCAGAAATGTATTAATTGATAATAAAAATCGATCAACTTTTTTCCGTGATAATGTCAGGTATGCCCAAACGATGTGGAAATGAAAGGTTTTAAGGTATTCCAAAAATCGTGCGAACGAATTGCGCTGGTAAAACTGTTACATAAAATATTTCTGGCTTCTTACAAGGGAAACTCTCGAGGTGCCGGTCGTGTCCAGGCTTGCCCCCACGTTTTTTAGAAGCTACTAGGACGCTAGATGAAGGGTCCATTCATATTTCCGTGCAAAACTTGTATTTCGCGCAATACCATGGCATCATATTCGCGAAATTGGAATGTTTTTATTTTTAACACGGCAGTAACTTTTGAAATCCTGGACCTATTTTCAAAATTTGTGACAAACATCATAACAAAGAGTTACACTTTCGTATGTCATGAAATTCTTCAAAAAATAACCTTTTGTAAAATTTTTTAAAAAATTTCGTAATTTTCTTAGAAACAGGTTGGTCGAAAAATATCAAATATTTTTTTATTTTGATTTCATTTTGTCCCAAAAAGTGCTACTTTTGTGATCATTTTAAGTATAAAATTTTGAAAATCCGAAGTAAACTGTAAAATTTATTGGGGTTTAAAATTGGTGGAAAATGAGGATTTTTAAGCTTGGCGCCAAATATGAGTTTAACACGGAAATAAGAATGAATCGTCCTTCTGGGGTCCTAGTAGATTCTAAAAACATTGTGGGCTCCTTGGGCACGATAAGCAATCAGGAACCTTCCCTTGTGAGAGGGACAAACTATGCCCGAACCATTTTGAAATAAATTTTACCCCCAACAAAGCATCATGAAAACATCCATCACATCCTGCGACAATTAATTTCAGAACTGTACACACTGAAAAAAATCCTGAATTTGCCACGGTAGTAATATATGTATGAAGCCGGAGGGAGGTTAAATACGTACCGCGTATGTTTACTGTACACCACAAGGAGTCAAGATATTCACGCATACAGAGGGCTACACCGAGACTCCGATCCGAGAATAGTTACAACTCATTTTTTGCGGGTGCAACCACAGGTCGCAGGTGACGATTTGTGCACAGGAGATAAATCGTCAATGCTTATTTACATAGAGCATATGTAGGTTATAAAACATTCGGTGATCATATCCCCGACACGTTGCTTTCTAAAACCTGTCAACGACACAAATAAATACACATGCATTGCAGATCGAACTTTCAACATTGCACCATATATGTGTCTGCATACATAAATGCAAGTGCGTATGGATATGTAGATATGCAGTAATTATATTATCTTTGTGATTGAGAGTGTGCTGTTTCTCCGCTGCATGATTTTCCGATTTCATCCATGGTCATGTAAAGAATGAGATTATCTTATCTATCCTGCAAGGATGATACGTGAAATGTCAACCGGGTTATGCATACATAAAGGTGTGGATGATTATGAATCATTCACAGTTAATCATTTACATATTAATCGGTTATCTAAATATGTCACCTCAGCACTTAAATAAGCCTTGTCGCGTAATAAAGAATTGGGAAGCTAATTTCTTTTTAGTTATTCCTCGCAGTCCATGGGAACAAGTTGATTTTTAGGAGTATAACAATGCAGCCTCATTTGTTTCTAGTATTTGTCATCCCCGTAATTATGGTCGCTTTAATTCAACCCGGGCTATTCCACCGCGTTCAATATATAGCATTTTATGGAGCATCGGGGTGTTGTGAGGAACCCTTCGCGAATATAAGCTCGTCCGCAAATAATATCCTTATTCCTGCTGGACAAAACATGATTCACTTAGGATTTAATGGATTGTAAGCCATTCAAGAGTGACACCATTTTATGAAACGACCGTGTATATAAAACCCCAATTTTAGCCTTAGATCGGACCTTAGACCCTATCGAAGTCAAGGGGTGTGCGAGAATTGCATGCTTCACCCTATTGCTATATTTCTTGTGCTCTTAATGACATTATTATTTCATTTTCACTCAATTCTTAATTACATGTAGATGGAGAGCTGAGCAATGCTACAATGAGACCACCTGTGCTGGCCAATCACTTATTGCAAATGGGTCATATAGCTACTGTCTAGCATGGGAAACCTATGACGATAGCACCGAAATACATGTCACCCGCTACGGTGATATGTTCCAGCTTGAGGAAAGGATCACGTTCTTCTCGGAGGCCAACTTAGAAGGGACAAGCTTCTCTGTTACTCCAGACACCCCTTTTAATGAAGAAGCACGAAGAGTAGGATCCTATTTCTTTACGGGACCAACTTCCTGGCAATACAAAAGTTCGGAAGCTGCGGATGGAGGTACATGTCTCAACGCAACAGACGAGGTATATTTCTACGGGTGGGGACACACTGTTCTATTAAGGGCAGATATTCAGGTGGGTTGGGTTCGACACGAATGTAATGTGTCTGAGGACCTGACTACGACTACAACAAGAACTACCACAGTATCAACAACTATCGTACCAACTACGACTACAAATTTGTGCACCACAACTACTACAGCTGCACCAACTACAACGATGCTAACCACAAGTACACAAGCTACAACAGAAATAATAACAACTCCAGAAGTGGTAACCACACCGATGAACTCCACCACATCGTTAGCAACTACATCAACTACGCCTATGACCACCACTGCAGACCCATGTCCAGAGGGTAGCGACATATAAACCTGTTAACTTAACCATAAAACAACTACTAAATGAAGGTCCTAAAAAATTTCTAGGACCCGGACTCGACGACTTTCTCCACTGGGCTTTCACCCATTTTGACGAGTTCATAATTTTGAATCACCTTAATCCTTCTCCTCCCATCGTCCCATACAATATCGATATAAATACGGATTTGTTCCAACTTTCTGGAAATATAAGGTGATCTCAACTACATACGTATGTGTATATCAAAAAAAATTGTTAAGAAATTATGAGATTTTACTCTATGAAAATTTTAGAAATTCTTTTGTCACCGGAATGTCAAATGCGTTGCAAATTTATGAAATATCTTCCGACTTGATGGTGCCACAGTTCCAATTTTCCATATTATTCAAACATCTGGAATTGCACGGTTAGAAAACTGTAATCATTGCACATTGAGACACCACTTAAAAATAATGTCAGCCTTTTTAAAATTAAATTGGACACTTAATGACACTAAAGACATAGCCACTGACTTCTATATTCCGTAAACAATTGTGACATGTGTCGTCTATACCAAATATGCAATGGGATAGAAGCTTCACATGCATGTTCGTTGAGAGTGAGTTAAGATCGTGTATGTAATTTCATTTGAAACGAATACACAACATAACATACAAAAGTGAGATCAATACATCGTTGGTATGTCACAGTCGTGACACACCAACGTTGGCCTTGGTGTCCTGTCCGGATGCTAAGGTTCGTCTACTGACAGTGCGATATTTTTGCAATCTTGCTATGTGACTGTTACACACACTATACCAAATCCAGAGTACACTTTACTAAATCGATATCAAACTAATGTTGTTTAATGGATTTAGTTTAGTTTACTTAATCTATTAGTCAATACCTCTCAAATCCATTTAAATATTTAGGATTATTCAACTTGTCCGGAAGTTTAAGTTCGCCTTTACCTATGCCGGCATCTGGGGCATGGTCCATCACCGATTTTGACTTAAAAATTGACTTCGCCCTGGTCGGATTTGCCATTGAAGATGGCTACATTAATTTAGAGCGATATGAGTCAAGAAAAATTGTGTTAACCCCAAACTATTCAAATTCCCAATTTTCTATGGAAAGTTTGAGTTTAAAGAATAACGATGGTGCCAGCAAAAATCTGGACAACGATCATGCTTTGGAAGCTTTGATGCATCAGATCTCAAAGTCCATGGAACAAGCCGGTTCGAATCCAGTGTTGAACTGGGTCATGACATATCTGAAGTTGTTATTTGATGTAAGTGTTTGTTAAGGTTTTAAGATTCAAAATGCAGAAAATTAGTGACCATGTTAGTAAGATATACGCATATCAATATTTTTTTCAGGTTACTCCATTGAGGTAGATCGCCGGTTTCACATACGTAATTTAAATCGCGGCCTAATTATGTATGTCGAGCATTTCATCCGTGTGATCATTACGCAAGTTTTTTTTGATTTATCATTGTAAGAATTGATTTTAAATATTTGGACTAATAAAGGATTTCAATTCATTAAAGTTTACAGGTTTCAAGCTACATATCCTGAGAATGAAATTGCAATTTTATAGCGCGTGTTAAAATACCAGTGTTCAAATGATATCAAGTGGAGTTCATATAAATACAAGTTTTTATGCCCAAGCCCAAGCAGCGACTCACTCGCCTGTTTTAAGTTAAGTAGATTATTTGTGTACAAAGCGGTATTGATTGATACATATGTACATAAGTAATGGGTACCGTGTATGCAGTAACTGCTCGGCAATATTGTTTTGCCACTTAAATAAGTAGCGCATTTTTGTGGACCAGCATAATTTAAGACCAGGCAGTAGCAAATTTAATAGCGATAAATCAATACGTGCTGCCTCATCAAACAAGACCTCTAACAGTGTATCAGGGGGATTTTGTGACAGCAGATTTTGTCACATACATATTATAAACCCTTGTTCAAAATGACACTGCACTAATAGTAAAAATGGAACAAAAAACGCTTATAATAAGCATTTTTTCGCTTGATGCACCTTACAAATACATAAATAAATGAGCATGTATATTTGAGTTGGGCTGGGCGTTTGTGTTCAATCCAATTAGACTACTTTGTAGAGTCGGCAATTAACCCATCCCGGTTCTTCGCAGATGAGCAACCATTGGGCAGGAACTGCCTTCATTGCCTTATCAAACTGGTTAATTACCACCTTAATCGTTCCCACGCATGCTTTTGCACCCTCATAAAATTTTTATGTTCCAAATAGCTTTTATTAAAATTTTAGTCAATTCTTTCCTCAATTTATATTTAATTGCATAAATACAATAAAGAGCGTGCAGACTTGACCAAATATCTGAAATATAAGTAAATAAATTTTAAAATTACTAGAAGATGAGTAAAATTTATCACGACCATGGTAACAGTCATAACTTTGAGAATACTTACGCTTAAGGTGAGAGAATTATTCAGCTTGGCATACCCACTTAACGAAATTTCCGTTGGGAAAAGTGACAATTCTTTGTAAATATTTTTGATCTGGAATCAAAGTTTAAATATTATCAGAACTATATTTAGGTACCTCATGCGCACTTGGGGTAACTGATAATTGATAATTGAATACGAACTGGGAAACATTTCTTACTTCATGGTTCACATGGAAATCATTTATTTCTTCCAAGTCCATACTTTTAAGAATTCCAGCGATTCTCGCCTCCTAAGAAATTTTTGTGTGACATAATTTAAGCATATCATAAAGTAATCTAAGAATCACATTACATTTAATTCCTGTATGATTTATGTACCTCACTTGTTATTCGCACCCCCATCCGAATTTTTACGTATACACGATACATCGAGAAAACATTGAAGAACGACATGTGCCAAGCCAGGACATAGTTGTCCGAATTACCTTCGATCAAAAACATCAAAGAAATGTACACCGTGGAAGATGCAAACCAAATGGATAACATGATCGACAGTAATTGCGTCGGTGCTAAATATTTTCCGCAGAGGGCAGCCTGTTGGCGAACGCTGTGCAGCGCTATTTTCAAATCTCGTAGCTTCCCTTTGTCCATAGATATGTAGTTCGTGGCCTTTAAATCGCGACGAATCTGGTAATTAATTAACATTGGGAATAATTTCATATATAGATTGCTTATCTTCGTACTAATTCATAAAAGACCTAAGTTCAGTCGATGCTTAATTCAGAAACGACCTAAGTGTACAGAAAACAAGTAAAGAAGACCTATGTGCAAGTACTAAGAAATGTATTTACTTATGGCTATATCTTGCCAAAACGAGTCTTTATATATCGCGCGATTTAGCTATATGTAAGTAAATACATGCTTGCACATAGGTATTTTTTTACTTTATTTTCTGCTCACTTAGGTCTTTTCTGAATTAAACCTCAACTGCAATTAGGTCTTTATGAATTAGCACGACGTTATATTGCGGAAAATATGTACCACCTCTGAAAATGCAACCTCAACGCTTTTCAACATCAGGACAACTTTAATATCGTCCGTGGCATATGCTATCGTCCCAATTGAACAAAAGAGCCCATGAGCCACGAAAAAAATTGGAAAGGCGGATAAGTACTTCAAGTCGGCCAAAAATATCGGAACGGCGAAAGGCAGTGTTACCCCGATAAAGTAAAATGGGGCGAAAGTATTTCTAAATTTTGAAATGTTTATGTCTCCAAGATTAAAGGAAGTCGGGAATTTAGCTGATTGAATTTCATTCCAAGCATTTAGATAAGTCACGAGGGCCGGCGTGGTCCACCAAGATGTAAAATATTCAAAGATTACGTTTAATAGGGAGAGAATTTGGGCGGCGAAGAACAAAATAGATGTCAAACGGAGACGAGGAGATGAGGCTGTGGTTCCATCATGATTAAACATATTTGGCCAGCTTGGTAAAAAATGAAGGAAAATATGTACATATGGAATATTAAGGGTATTCATTTCAAGTTCTGAGCGTTAGCAACGTTCGCAAAAATTTTTGGCTTGAAAATTGATTTGCGAACTTGCGCATCTCCAGGGCTAATATTTAGTTCGCAAAATATTTTTCACAAATTTTTCAATGGGAAAAGCCCATAAATCTCCATTATGTAGTTACCAAAATTTTGCCATTTGAATTTTTGAAATTTCTTATTTGATAAATTTCGGATGCAAAATTTTGCTAGCTAATGGAAATCTACGAATTTTTCTCATTTCGAAATTCGAGACATTTGGACAAAATTTTCACATGCGAACTCGTAATGAATACCCTCATTACCCGGAAAGTAATTTATCAAATAGCTAACGTACAGGCCACCCGTGGCAAACGTGTGTCGTCCGATCGCCCCAAATTGAAAAATGCCAAAAGTTAAGAAGCAGATTTTGAGAACTGCAATTATTAAGGGTACAAGGATACACTTGATAGATTTAGGGTTAAACCCGTATTCGATGCAATCGTCATCCTTGTCAAATAAGATTGGACATCGACCAAAAAATCCAAGAAATTTTATCAGTGGGAGGAGTTGTAATGTCACTTTTGCAGACGGTGGGGGTGCTGAGAGGAGTTGTGGTAGTTGTTTTAAAATAATATTTTTTGTGGTCATGACGAAACGGTTTTGGAGAAAGATGATAAAGTGGACTGGGAGAAAGTTGGAATATTCGGTTCGAAAACCAATTATAGTTATGGATTGACATTGGCTGAGTAAATGTATTGACAGATTTTAATATGATTATAATTTTCCTAATTATTGCCAAGTGAGATAAATAACATGGTAAGTTGGGTTATAGATTGCTCTCTAAGTAATTGCATTTAGATAAGAGGTTACATCATGATTTTAAAAAGAGCAAATCAATCGTCTTCAGTGGTCTCAACGGTCCCTGGTTCTGACCGGACCGGCACCTGTTCGATCGGGTTTTGCACAGAGAACCGAAACTGGCCAAGGATGTGTTATCATAATATTGATCACATAACATACCGCGTATATGTATGTCGTATAATATATTCGTTTTATTACTGAAATTTTTAAGGCATATGTATGTAGGGCTAATACATATGTTCCGCTGCATTTATTATGCAATGTTCAAGTAACAATTTAAGTTATTGTTATGTATTGGTAATAGTTTAATTCGAAGTGGTAAATATTTCATTACACCACTTACATGCATATGTATCTATGTATTTATTCATGTATTACCGATGCGGGGAGAGTTATGTACGTAGTTATGCATATACATATGTATATATTCCTACCACTAAGTATCCAATACCAGTTGCATAATCGTGTATATACACATTTACCAAAAAACAACTCAAGTTTTATTTTATTAACCGTAAGGCCTTAATTTATACGAAACTAGTATGATACAAAACTAGAAATAATATAAAAGCAACTGTTGAAACTACCCAATTCAATAAATATTCATTTCTCCAGCGTGTGAACCCTGCCCAGATGATCATTCAGCACGGAGAAGTTGAAGAATGTTTGTCCACAGAAGTAACATTCGTAACTTAATGGAAAACAGCTTTTCCGTTTCAAGTGACGCGTAAGATGTGATTTTTTGCACGTGGTGTAGCCGCAAAATTGGCACGAATGTTTGTCAGGAGTTCCGTGATAATTTTTCACGTGAAAGTTGAGGTCGCATTTTTGTAAGAAATTCCGACGACATACGTGACATGGGAACACCGCTCGGGAAGATTTCTCTTGGTGCGTCGGCTGAAAAAAGATTACAAATTAGTCTTAATAAGTCTTTCAACTGGTTATGGGGAATCCCAAATTAATTTTTCTCAATCCGTGTTTAGCTCGCCCTTTTCGATTTCGATCATTTAGGCACATTTATTGCTCAAAAACAAAATCAACCTAATTTGAGGTGATTTTTTAGGCTTTATCACACCTTCGAGCAAAAGGGAATATTCCCAGCTACATATGTATGAAGCTGAGATTAATTTACAGAAATATTTATTATTCCTGTCAGGGACCCTGACTCAGGGTAAAGAAAACCCAGGGGTTTAGCTATTGAAAAACCCAAAGGTTTTGCAGTTGAAAAACCTTGAGGTTTTACCTGGGTTTTGCGGGTAGTCGGGGTTTTGTGGGTATTCGGGGTAGTAGGTATTTTTGAGGGTTAACTGAGGAGGACAACCCTTCACCGACAGAATCACCGATTTCGATGCCCTTTGGATATGTTGTTGCACTAGGTGAGTTGAGCAAAAGTGAAAAAGGATTTCATTCAATGGCCCCATTTGCGCCCGCCACACCCACCAAAGAGGAATCCTATGCCAAACTGGTCGCATTAAAAAATTCACCAAAAATCCATTTTTAATGATAATTTGATAATTTTTGCACCTTTTTGATCCCAGATAGTTGTTTTATCGTATCCGACATGAATTTCAATTTTTTGAATTTTTTGAATATTTTCGAAAATTTCGTGGATTTCGAAAAAATCAAAATTTCAAAAAAGTTGAGTTTGCTATTGGATATGATAAAGCAACTATCTAAGGTCACAAAAATGCTTAAATTGTGAAAATCCGACCAAAATTGGATTTTTGGTGATTTTTTTAATGAACCAAAACAGGGTATTTTTGCACCTTTGAGTGGGTGTGGCAGGCGCAAATGGGGCCATGGAATGAAATCCTTCTTCACTTTTGCTAGACTCACCTAGGACTACAACATATCCAAAGGGCATCGAGATCTGTGATTCTGTCGGTGAAGGGTTGTCCTCCTGAGTCAAAGTCAACTTAGGTTTTGAAAAAAATCGTTTTTCTTCAGTAATTTCTCGACAAAGCAGCTTATTAAGTGATTTAATTTTCATAACTAATTAACTTTAGAATTGTTTTAGTGGTGCCCGATTACAATACTTTATTAAATTTGAAAATCCCGACTACCCGTAGGAATTGCTCAGATTTGCCCCAATACCCCAAAAACCCGGGGTAGCATACCCTGATTTCTGTAAACTATGTACAATTCATTGACAATTGAACATTACCGATTTATTTAAACCTGTTTTAATGGTTCACAGAAAATTTATCCACCATAGTTTTTTACTACCCGGGCAGAGGTACATATATTCAGCTGCAATTCTTGAACCTGTCAATGCTTATTGAAAATTTTATCAAGACCAAAAGTCGACATGACCATCGTAGAGTTAAGATAAAGATTTTAGTTGCGCAGAAATTAAGGCACATAAATATGTAAGAAAAAATATTAAGTTCGTTGCGTCGCAGCCTGAAGAAATGAGCTCTGGATTTTTAGGAGGAGAAAGTGGGGAGAACTTTTCTGACCACCCTTTAGTCAAGTCCGGGATTTAGCAAAAAAATAATATTTTTGTGGGTCTTTGCTTTTGCCGATTTTTTCCAAAGTTGGGAAACCATTTTTCTGACATAGATTAACTACTGTTCATCCTGTATTATTAGTCCGATATTTTTTCTGAGAAGTTACATACAGTGGGTTGTCAAAAGTGTTGGTGGTCCATTTTGCGCTCGGTACCGCGTGAGATATTTTTGCCCAGGGATAACCATGGACTAATTCTCCTGGCATTTTTTATAGCCCAACAATTGAAGAAGAAAATACATCAAACAGAGTTTCGAAATCTGACCCCGTTCGGGGGAAATTGAGAAAAAACTTCAAAAACCGTAGAAAAAATTGTGGCAAAAGTATTGGTGGTGGTTTATTTTTTGCGTCTACAGGCCTCACACGTCTGAATTACCAGTCGTAACGTTAGTATAATACTCTTTTATGTTCATTGCGCTATAAATTTATTTAAATTGGCTAAAATAAGTGAGTTGACCATCGCTGAGAAAAATTTATCAACAGTTCGCGTGAGAGAGGGGTTTGACCCCAAAATCTTTACCTTCTGAGCTCCTTTAACCCTTGGAAAATTCAGAATATAATCATGCAGTACTTCTATACTTGCGCGGTGGTCAGCAGCGCAAAACAAGCCCGAACAAGGGCCACGCCATCAAGCCAAGGCAGAAAAGTTACTCATCATAGCAAGTACAGCCCTTTTTTTGAAAGCCCTAACGGGCAGAAAAATTACAACACAATACACACTGAACAGATTCATTGTGATAATATTGAAATTAAGGTCCCCCACTTAATTTGAGTACATGCACTCCACCCCATCACTGAATCTGGTCGAGATAAAGATGAGATTAATTTCCCAACATGCTGATAAGTAAAATAAGAAAAATAGCCTCTAGTGTATCTCACAGTTTTTTTCAATCAATCGGTTCTCAGTGGTTCAACTGATTTTCTACAAACATGTTAAGGTCCACGGATTCTAAAAAACAAAATTTGTTGTCATCCGATCACAGGATCTCGTCGCGATCATTTTTCATCACACTCGCGCGTTCCTTTCGCCACCCATATATTATCAACAGATATATCTTGCTATGTGCATGTTCATAAACCGGCTTCTTCCAATGAAAATTTGTTTCGTTTAGACTACGACACACAATAACCTCCAAGATTGTATGCTCCAATATGATCTGGATTTTTTTTGTGACCTCTGAGACCTTCCCAAAACGGTAGTCGTTATCATAATAGGTCATTTTTCTGACTTGGCTTGATGGCGTGGCCCTTGTTCGGGCTTGTTTTGCGCTGCTGACCACCGCGCAAGTATAGAAGTACTGCATGATTATATTCTGAATTTTCCAAGGGTTAAAGGAGCTCAGAAGGTAAAGATTTTGGGGTCAAACCCCTCTCTCACGCGAACTGTTGATAAATTTTTCTCAGCGATGGTCAACTCACTTATTTTAGCCAATTTAAATAAATTTATATCGCAATGAACATAAAAGAGTATTATACTAACGTTACGACTGGTAATTCAGACGTGTGAGGCCTGTAGACGCAAAAAATAAACCACCACCAATACTTTTGCCACAATTTTTTCTACGGTTTTTGAAGTTTTTTCTCAATTTCCCCCGAACGGGGTCAGATTTCGAAACTCTGTTTGATGTATTTTCTTCTTCAATTGTTGGGCTATAAAAAATGCCAGGAGAATTAGTCCATGGTTATCCCTGGGCAAAAATATCTCACGCGGTACCGAGCGCAAAATGGACCACCAACACTTTTGACAACCCACTGTATTTGGCACTTAAATAATTTCGTCATTGCAAAACTCTTGTAAAATAAAGAGAAGACGTTGGTGTACAAATTTCTGTTCACACAATTTTATTCTACCTGCCAGGTAACCTTTCAGAATTTTTTGCAACTAATAATACTGGATGAACAGTAGATTTTCATTATCTAAATATGCCTACCTCGTGTCCTTTAAGTGAACCCAACTGCGAAAAACTCCTCCCACACGTGGCACACTGGTATGGCTTCTCCCTCGTATGAGAGGCAATATGTTTGGCCAGGTTTCCCACACTTTTGCACTCCTTCTCGCACAGGGTGCACCGAAAGCGGAGAGGATTCTGGGCGTGGTAAGTTTTGAAGTGTGTGACGAGACTCGCCTTTCTGAGAAATGTTCTACCGCACCCAGGAAACGTGCAGGGCATGCGTACTCGTGAAGTCGCGCAATGTACGAATTTTACGTGTACTCGCAGATTCTGGGGCGAACTAAACTCCTTACCACAAATGTCGCATGGTAGCTTTCTTTGGGGTCCATGCACGCCGGACACATGTGCGTGTAAAGTGAGCACATTTTTGAGGATTTTTCCACAAATCTGCAGACATATTGAGAAATGCTGTATTTTAATGACTTAAGGCTCCCTTTTGTGTGCGGGTTTTTTAGGTTTATAAACTTTCCCCTTTTCAATGTCATATTGAAAGCCAGGTGTTTTTACGTAATTTTTTAGGTTGGCATAGTTCATAGGAGGTTATCGTGTATACATGATAACACTCAATCATTTTGAGGCAAATCGTCACCCGTGGATTGGATGTAGTATGTAAATATAGTGCTCTAGACGTTTTGTTACTAATGGGAAATAAGTCATAAACTCGTGTATGTATGTACAAAAGACACGTTACTTCAAAACCATTTTGATCTGAATACAAGATTTTTTAGCTTGGAAATATCGAATTTTTTAAATTGACGACGGCAGCTACACGAGTTTTTGACATATTTCCCATTAGTGACAAAAGGTCTCCTACATCATTACTAAAAAATGGACCATAGTACTATTGTACCTCCGTGGGGTGGCGATTGGTCTCCAAACAATTTGGAGTGAAAATATTTTATTTTTACTTCTCACTTTTTACCACTTCTTCATTTATTTTCGCAAGACAGAAAAAATAATCACAAATCAATCTTACTATTTAATTTTGGATGTTGATGTTAATAAAAACGAATGCCGATCAAAGGGTTTCAAAATTTTCATTTGAATACATATGTATAAATGTAAATAAATATGTATGTACATAAATAGAACAAGGGAAGGTTGAGGCAAATATATAAGTTCAAATTCATAAACCAATTACAAAATAACGTTGCAAACTTTCATAGTGGAGATTATGTACATTTTGATAATACATACCTCGCATTTGACTTGTCCATTTGGGTCGTGAGTGACGATATGTCTGGTTAGATGTGCTTTAGTTTTAAATGTTTTCAAGCACTGGGGGCAGTCCCATTTTTTAATTGTAGTTCCTTCCATTCTACCCCAATCGCTTAACTTTATTGGGTGAAATTATGTATACTTACTTGAGAAATTTCTGAGGTGCTCGGCACATCAGAAGTTTCCCATGTAAGTTTTCTTTTAACTACATGTGAAAATTTTAATGATTTTAAAAAATCACTTAAATATTCGTGGATCTATAACGCACTTGTTTAAAGGTCACTATTTATTTGCTTCGAGATAAACCTTTTTGATTGAATGTAAATATTCAAATATGGTAGAAATTATGAAGTTCTAAAAATTGTAAGACACAATAGGTTGTAATTTACAACCATAACTATCTACATCAGCAAAATTACAAGGTACATATATCGTTTTTTTTATTTGTTATGCTTGGTAAACGCGGGGGATTGAGAAGGCCGATTGAGTCCTTAGCCTCAAATTGACGACTGAATCGAGCCTAGTTCAGTACCCTTTTCAGCACCTGAGGGAAGGAAGGATGGGGCGCTTCATAAATTATGCAACATAAAAAACCTGACTGCTAGAACCCCACATCCCACCCCGCTCCTTAATATGTGTCGGATAGATATGATATCATTGGATCCTTGGAGAACCCCGTCTCCCGTCACATAATTTATGTATTAACGGGCCCTATGTCTTTTTTTGAATCTAAGGTAGCCCTAGTTATTTATAGAAAGGTTCAAAAATTATAAAGCCAAAAAGGCGAACATTTGACCAAACTAAACATGTATGTGTATATTCATGTACTTCATACAGGGCTAAAAACTGTACCTGCTATAAAATTAAGTTCTCACATTTCTCATAACTTTGGGTTAGAAATTATGCATAACCTTAAGCCTAGTACAGAATACTGTTCAATCTGTACTCACGACGAGTGTTCGCGTGAAATGACATCGTGCTAAAATTCAATTTTTCGCTTGGACAAAATTTATAAGCCGGCAGAAGATACTTCTCTTCCACGCACGTTTTCTCTCCTATGTATGTACATAATTCAAGGTTAAGAACTTTTGAAACTAGTTGAAGAAATAGGAATAACAAAATTTGTCATTTGAATCCATAAAAGACAAATGATGAGAAAATTTGACATTGGAGCTTCTTCAAATTTCGGCCGAAATGGTTGTTTTCCGGGAAAAACTCTTTCGGCTCATCCTCAGTGCATACCTGCATTTCCTTGCCCATCCTCCAACTACGTTGGGAGAACACTTGCCACCGGGAGAAGACTTGGAGGCGCGAAGCGCCGCCAAATTTTTTTAAAATTTTTGTTTATAAAAAAGTGAAGAAAAGTTTAAAAAATATAAAAAAGTAAGGTCTAACTTAAACAAACTGACCACAACAAGAACTCGCTTCAGTCCGATTAAGTCGCATGAACAACGGAAGACCTTGGTGTTAGATGGCACAAAAACAACACTTGAGTCAAAGAAAAATAGGAAGAACACGACACCCAGGTCGTAGAAATACACAGGTACAAAAGAACACTTAGGTCTTAGAAATACGTAAGAAGAACAGGTCGTAAAAGTGGATAATAGAGCAGAACACTTAGGTTTGGTAAGACAGAAGCGGAACACTCAGGTCTCAGGAAGACAGAAGCAGAACACTCAGGTCTTAGGAAGACAGAAGCAGAACAGATCACTCAAGTTGCAGAAAAGAACATACAGAGAAGAATATTTAAATCGCTTTAAGTCACAAAAAGAAACAAATATTCAGATCTTAGAAACGCTAAGAAATAACAGGAGAATTTGGTCTTAGAAACACAAAGGAGGAGCAGAACATTTGAAAATGACGCGGGAAGAAAAGAATACTTTCCAGATTTTTAGAATTTTAGAATTCAGATTTTTAGGAACGTCATTCAATTGTCTTAGAAGGGGTGACAGATATCTTATGGCGTCATAAATCAGAAGGACCTATTGTCTACTCACAAGCAATTTAGCCATAGAATCATCAGAAAACCGTACAACGACTATTGTTGATATGGATTTGTCCCCAGTGGATATGTATCGGATTGAGCGAACGCAGAAATATGGCAATTTCATTAATGAAGTTTTCTCTACGTTTCTGTTTAAACGAAATTATTACGAAATCCGTGAGCGAAAATTTCCATTTTTACCTTGACATTCTTCTCTCGAGGGTGAAAAATACAGATTCTCGCTTACGAATTCCATCGTAATTTAGTTTAAACTTAAAATGTGTGGGTATGAAGTGGTATTTTCCGATTTTATATTGCTCCCCTAAAGTTGGAACTTTGGAAAAATTTTGAAAGTCTCGAAAAATTCAAAAAACCAGAAATTTTGCAAAGTAAAAAGTTTTGACAAGTGGATTTTGCTAAAATTACTCAATGGAATTCTTTGCAAATATTGGAAAATATGCAGCACTTTACAAAATGCGGATTTTGGCTGAAAATTTATTCAAAAATTTTGCGACAACCGAAAACTTGCGCATTTAGGAAAGTGCAAAAATACTGGTCCGACTATTTCCCTCCCTGAACAATTTAAAATTCGTCCAGTCAAAATCGGTAAAAAACAACTTCATGCCCACGGATTTTAAGTTTAAACAAAATTATGATGGAAAACTCGAGCGAGAATCTGTATTTTTCTCCCTCGCGAGAAAAATGTCACGGTGATAATGGAAATTGAAAAATCCTGAGACACGTGTTCAGTAATTTATCTAAGGCTACATGATTATCGTGGTTTCGTCAAGATCGGGGCGAAACCTCTGACGTCATCGCATTATCAGTGTGTGAACATTGACTCAAATGAGCCGTCAGATAGTTTTCAAAGTTACCCTACAATTGGGCATGTTTATAGTTTTCAAGATTATTTTGCAAACCAATCTTCTTTTTAAATCCCTTCAAAATTTTTTATGAAAACCAAATTACAATATATAGGATAACAATACTGTTGCTCAGATTTACGAAATCATATTGTTGCGTATCCCTTAGCGACAGAAGTTTTTCTAGCTTCGAAAGTTGGCTGAACCAGTTACGACAATAATTATGACATTGTGGTGGGGACGCTCACAATGTTTCTTTGAAAGCTTTGAAGGACAGAAATGAAGTGCACTTTATTGAACTTTTATGAAAGTTTCAGGAGCTCTCAAATTGCATGTTGCAATGAGAAACACGCAAATTCTTGCTGACATCAACCTGAGCATTATGAAAAAATGCCAAGCTCATGTTTAGGATGCATTAGGATGTTTAGGATGTTTTAGTTATGGTGACCTTATCAAAATTGGAGCAGAACCTCTGGCGTCAGCGAATTGTCAATGAAATACTTTTGATTACGTGAAAATACGTTTCGGCTTCATTATCATATTTATATTTCATATTAATATATTTAGCTTAGTATTCTTTATATTGATTGTTACTTGGTAATGCGAAAAATTGCTTATTCCTATAATTTAAGGATATCAGTTTCTGACAAAACCTCCCCCAACAAATGGACCATTAGAAGCAAAAAATAACTAGTTTGCAACTTTGTCTATTTCTGACCAAATTTCGTTTAAATACGTACAGTTACGGAGCATTATATGTACCTAGTATTTCGACCGTCTTTAAAACTGACTTGAATTAGCGTGCGAAAGTTTGTTTTTATTTATGAAATTTTATTCTCGAAGGGTAGTTGTTAGGTTTTCATAAACACTTTGGCTGACAACAATCGGTCAAAAGATGACAAGGAAATTGACGAACGAAGATTTTCGCAAACGACAATTATGGACAAATTGAAATTATCCGGATACAGTGTGGCTCGTTCTCCAACATATCGTCAAATTAATTCGGGTTTAATTATATGAAGATACAAATTAGCAGGACTGTCATCCTCTGCAAGGTTTCAGTCTCCCCCCCACAAGAAAATATGTTTTCCGAAAAATCGCAGGGTTGGCCAAGATAATTTAACAAGATACAAGATATCAGATACAAGATATATCTTGTATCTTGTATAACGGAGTTTATCTTATCTTTTATCTTGTGTCTGAACGTTTCGCAAAAGTATTTTGTATCTTGTATCTTGTATCTGGAGAATTTATTTGAATCATATTTTATTTGAAATACTAGTCAAGATACAAGATACTTTTTTTTAGTGAAAACCCGAGAAACTTGCATATTTGGCAGCATTAAACCTTGGAATAATGATGATTGAGAAACCTCAGTGTACAGCTTTGCCGAGTCAGATGCAAGGTTCTGTTGTATAACGTCGCTATATTTATTTATGCACAGTAAATAAACCCTCGCCGTTGGAAAATTTTGTAATTTGCCTTTATATTCCTAATTTGTACCACCATTAGAGCAATTATTATTAATTTCAAATGAATATACTGGTAATAATAATTTCAGCTCCATAGAACAATTAAAAACTCAGTATGGGTCACCACATGAAATGTTGGAAATTCTCATTTGTTTATAAATTATAAACAGAGGGTGAGGACTTGCATTATAAATTATAATGCAAGTTATGAGTCGTATACTATTCTTATTAACAAGTTACTCGGCCACAATACAAAAAATCAAATGGTGCATAGTTAGTTATTTGCAAGCTCCGAATAATTTATCTTGCATCTTGAAAAAATTATTTCAAATAAATAAATATCTTTTATCTTGTATCTGGGATCACAGCAGATAAAATCTATCTTGTATCTTGTATCTTGTGTAACTCTAATTATTTGTATTTAGTATCTTGTATCTTAAGGTTTCGTTCAAATATTTTGTATCTTGTATCTTGTATCTTTGAAACAAAGTATCTTGGCCAACCCTGAAAATTCGACACCCTGACAAGCCGAGTAAATCCTCCTACCCAAACTGAAAATGGAAAAGTTGTTAAAATAGCTGCAAGTGAGATGGGTCGTCGAGGAAAGGTCTCAAAAATAACAAGTTCATACGTTAAATTACGTTGTGTCGAAAATCTCCAGGTCAACGACCTAGTACGCATTCAAGTTTCATTCCTAAGCAAATCATACTCACTTAAAATGTTAAATGAAGAGAAATTTGAATTTGAATGTAGCTTACTCAAAATAAAAATGAGCAAAATGTGCTTAAGGTTGAGTTAAAAAGAGGAATCAACGGGTAAAATTCGTTCAACGTTAAGAGGATGCCATCAATTTTCGCATAGTTTACCTCGTCAGCAATTCGTACTTCGAGTTCATTTCCCGTGCCTACCGATAATTATATAACATATTTACACACTCTGAAAAATAATGTTAACCTGTTAAAAACTAAATGTGCTCTGAAGTTTGGATTAAATAGGTACTACTTAATCCAGAGTAACATTAGTTTGAGAAAGAGTAATGTTTATACTCTAAATCACAATAACTAAAATGTCCTCTAGGTTGAGTAAAAAAGAGGAGAAGGTAAAATTTTTCCAACCGTTGACCGTTGATACAAATTTTGCACAACGGTTCGACAAACAAATTTAGCCTTTTGGTTGGTGTGTCATTTTCTTTTTTGCTCAACCTGTAAAGGGTGTTGATTTAATTTCTCCCCACTTTATCTTGTAAAAAAACGAAGGCTCATTTCTGAAAACTGTGCGACGCAACGGACCCAATTTTTTTTCCAAACACACATTAGTATCTAGGCTTTCGACTGCCGACCTTAAGCATGTCCTCAGCTCTTTGTTCGGAACTCTTTGCTAATTTTTTCTAACTAATTTTTGTTATGGAATTGCACTTAGCTTGAACTTTCAATGCTAGCTTCTCTGCTGGTTGTGGTTTTGGATCTTTATGCATATAATCCTTTAATATGGGCTATAGGTTCTCCAAAACACCCACATCCAGATTTTTATCGCACCACACCCGTCTGCTCCAAACCGTTTTACACTGACCTAAACATAGTGGCAGGGTCGTTTTTGTCGTGTGATTTGCACCACCATCCTGCATGAAAAGAACTGACTAATACTTGGAAAAAATTCCTTGTTTCTCATGCTATCAAAGCCTTTAGGTTACATTTTCGCTATAAAATTCTTTGCATTGACATGTGCCATATTTGTATAATATGGAGGGTTTACACGCCACGAGCAAAAAACTACCCGCTACCATAACTTCTGATCCACATTTTGAAACACGCACGGGTGGTTCATGTGACTTTTTTCCGGTTTTGTGTATCATATGTTGTAGGTTCAATTCTGGATGTGGCTTATTTGAAGACTCATTTGTCCCCTGGTTCTTGACCTTGCCTTTTTTCACGAAAATCGCCACTTTTTTGGAATATTTTTCCAAATTTTAGGCCGGTATTAATGTTCTTTTGAGATGTTAAAGCTTTCCTGACTTAGTTTATGAGCTGTGTGACTCCAATTCGTCAATTTTTCAAACTTCGGTACTGCAGTATGATAAATTTACGTGTTAATATTTTTGATGCGTTTTATCCCATTTCACTCTTTTGCCGAAATTAGTACAGAACTTCCTGTTCTTGATGAATCTTGGGCAGAATTGTGGTTGCTGTATTAGGTGACATCCTCCTAGGTCGTTCCGACCATTTTTTGTATTTGAAAAAAATTCAACTGGTTTGTAGCCTTAACGTTTTCCCGCCACATCACAATTTCTACGATTTTTCGTATATTTTTAATTGCTGCGGAACTGAAGCATCATACATCGAATCTCTACGATGGTCACGATCGACCTTTAGTATTGGACTACTCATGGTAAAATTTTCAAAAATTAACATTAACAGGTACATGAATTATAGCTGAATTTGTCGCCATCCGTGTAGTAAAAAATGACTGGGGAGAAATTAAATCAACACCCTTTACATAGTAACTTTTACGAATTTTTATTTAGAGCGCATGTATTGAAAATGGGGAAACTAATTATTGGAACACGTGGGAAATCTTGGAACATTTTCCAGCGTTGCAGTCTGCAACTTACACTGCAAGTCTTGCAGATTAAATTAAATAAAAACGTAATCTCCGGAAATTTCTCCGAAATATTCGAAAATTTCCCGAGAACTCGGAAAAAATACTGAAAAAATTCGAAAGTGGAACCCTTTTCGGAGAACACTTGCGGGATTTGTTGGGAGAACACTTGTAAGAAAATGCAGGTATGCCTCAGTGCAGCCGAAAAATCGTAGCATTCTCTCAATCTTCTCCACCTTCCATCTAAATATATCTTGTTCCATGCTGTACCATAGCTCGCAATGGACCATGGACCACAAAAAAATTGGTCCATCGATAGACCATGGACCATTTTTCAAGTGGTCCATCGGTGGACCATGGACCATGGACCAATTTATTGCGAGCTATGTGCTGCACACTTCCAATAAAAACGGCCAGTCGCAAATTCCCCTCTTTCTTATGCAAATAATGCATTACAATTTTCATATTACAATTAATAACCTAAATTTGCGTCATTTATTTAACCATATTTAACTACTCGTACACCAATATAATTTGAAATTTTGTGTGGAAAGCATAATTATCGCATGTTTTTTTATAATTTGCCAAATTTCCGAGTCAATTTTCATGAAAATTATGTATTGTTTAACGTTCAGATTAATGTTTTATTATATTATGCGCAGGGAGGCAGGGGGACATTTCCCCCCAGAAGAAATTCAGAAAAATCTTATCTCGCCCATGTTAATAAGCCTCCCCCCTTCTTATCTTACAATGACAATGCCCCCCATCCCCCACAAACTTCCGGCACTAATGACCATGGTCCAAATTATCTTCCCCGGCCACTTTGGTAAAAAAATTTACCATTCTTAGTTGATTTATTAAATGTAATTTACCATTCTAATTATTGTTTTAATTATTAATTAGATAAATATCTAACATTTGTTTGTAATTTGCATGAATTTGTATGAAAACGCCAAATTTTATAAACGACGACGTCACATCACGAAAAACTTGTGTTAAACTTTACTTTATATAACATTTAGACTGCATTTACTTTAAGACACTATTTTTAAGAGTGTGCATAAATAAATTAAATAAAAATTTGGAAATTTAAGAATTTAAATGCAGTCTTTTTTTTAGTATTTTATGCATTTCATAAAATTTCATGCTTTTCAAACATTCATTTTCTTGCCCCAAACCCTTCCCGCATCATTTTTTAGTCCCCTTGATCACGTGCAAGCCCAACCACCAATCAGACGACAGCGCTCAGCACGCTCGTCTCAACATGTACCACGTGTCCAAATTTTATTTTACTTCAAACCCAGAAATTTTAGGGATTATTTTATCAGAAATTTATAAAATTTTATTTTCCTCAAATTTACATCACATCCCACTTTTTTCCATTTACAGTATGCAAATTTAATTTCATTTGATACCTGGATGCTCCCATGGTGGGAAAAAGAGCGTCGTTTCTTTCTTTTCTTTCTTCTAATATTATTTTCGCTCACTTTCGTTCCAATCGTCACTTTGAGCAGTTTAGTTTCTTCTCGTTCTCTCTCTCTCCTTGTCAATTAATTAATTTCAAAGTTAATTAACTTGGATTAATTTAACTCGAAAGAGTTCCAGACTTATCGAGACGTAAGGTAAGCAAATATAAAAGGGGAAATGACAAGGGGTTTCAGTTTTGAGTAATTTTTAAGTGAATTTCTATCCTTTTTTTTAGATAGTCTTGCCTTGCTGACGTTTCTGGGTTAATTTGAGTTCGGAGAGGGCTTATCGACTACATACATCAGGTAAGCAGTTAATTAGCTAATTATTAACCTGCTTGCAGTCCTTAGTAACTTTTTAACCGTGTAAATTTGGATTTCAGCCGTTTTTGCTGCCGTTTTGGAGATTAATTTGATTTTCCGGCTTATCTCGACTCAATAAGGTAAGCTATTATCAAGCTGAAGCAAGTTTTAAGTGTGTAAATACAAAATTTAATGTTTTTGTTGTCATTTATCATTTATTTTAGATGGCGACCCTGTTAAAGTTGCAGAGTAACGATGGGTTGCAGCTCGAAGTGGAGAGGGAGGTCATCTTTTGTAGCCAGATGATCAAAACAATGATCCAAGACTTGCCCGCTAATGACGACGATGACGACGTCATTCCCCTTCCCAATGTCTGTGGAGAAATTTTGAAGAAGGTCGTCGAGTGGGCCGTTCATCACAAGGTGAGCAATTTTTTAGCGTCATAAATTAATTGCGAAAACGTTTCGTCATAAAATAGTTTGGAAAATAAAAGTAGGCCAATCTGCAAGTCAAAAGTTTTATGGAAATGGTGCAAATTTGTAATTGGCAAATAATTAATGTACGACTGGGTTACTAAAATTGACAAAATCTAGAAATTTTTAATCATTTTTCTGCTGTGACAATTTATTTTACAATTCTGGCCGACAAATTTGTAGTTAATAGGATGGCGACGAGTTTTTTAAGTCAGTTTTGATAAGTTGTAATTTTTCTGAGGGTTTCTTAAACTTGAAATTTCCTTCAAAAAGTTTCAAAATCTGGGGTGTATATTTTTTTAAATTGGGAACACCCCGGGTCGCCCAGAATTTTAAAATAAATTCCCAGAGCGGAGAAATGTTCAGATTTTGACGAGGAGACATCGACTTAATTGTATATTTTGTTTTTAACTGTTAAATTCCCTTAATTACAAATTTAATTGCTTTCAGGACGATGCCCCACCCTCCGAGGAAGAAGAGGCGGAAAAGAGCACCGACAATCTGAGCACTTGGGATTCTGAATTTTTGAAGGTCGATCAGGCCACTTTGTTCGAGCTGATTTTGGTAAAGAAAAAAATAGTTAATCTTGTCTTCTAAGTAATTACTAATTAATTGTGTTTTAAATTTTTATTTCCTATTAGGCTGCTAATTATTTGGATATCAAGGGTTTGTTGGACTCGTCATGCAAACTCGTGGCAAGCATGATCAAGGGGAAAACGCCACAAGAGATCCGGACAACGTTCAATATTCGGAACGACTTCACGCAATCCGAAGAAGAGCAAATTCGCAAGGAGAATGAGTGGTGTGAGGAAAAGTAGGGAATGAAATGATAATCTGATGAATTTAAGACTGACAATTTTTTTGATTTGCTAATTTCAATTTCCAAATATTGCTTTATTTCCTTTTTTGATCAATTAATTGATGAAAGGGTATTTTTTTTGGTATTCCTTTAAGTCAACACTTTGTCAGAATCCGTGTTAAATTTAAGAATAACTTGTTTTGAGAAGTAAGAATTATAAATTGGATGGAATGGCCCTTTAGCTATTTTGGGTTAATTAAAGTGTAATTAATTTTTTTTGTATTTAAACACTCTCAAATTACTTTGAAATTTAAGAATAATTTGCTTTGATAATTGCAATTACAAACGTGTATGACATGAAGATAGGTTTTTGAGTTCCTATTCTTCTTTTGATTAATGAACTAAAATGTAATTATTATTTTTTGTATTTGTCTCAAATACTTTCACAAAATACTTATTAAATTCATTGCCTTGATAATTAAAATTATTTGTGATTCTGTTAATGGAATTTATTTGCATACCACGTATCACACATTTCATACATATTTATCATATAATAAGTAGTTCAAGGAATTAAGGAATATTTACTCTCGGATCGTGTCCGCGGAAGCGTGGGGGCAGAGAGACAATTATTTGAGGTCCCCATTATCCGCCCATGTTATATAAACTCCTCCCTCTATCCTACAATGTCCCCATAACTTGCGTGGTCGTGATAAGCACATAGATAAGTATTTTTACATAAATATACATAGATAAGCTATCCATATAGATAAGTACATAAAATTATTCCTTGTGTTCTCCTCCTTCGTTCAAAACGCAATACACGTCTTCCCAATTGGGCAACTGAAAATAAAAATATACAATTTACGTTAGATTTTAGGCAATTTACATATGTAAAAAAATATTGGACTGGTAAAATTCTAAATACCTTCGAAATGTGACCCTGATCCTCCTTACTGACCAATAATAGCGATGGTTTAGTCTAACATCGAAAAACAAAATAGGGATTTAGTAAATTGTGTGGCAATTCACGCAGTCCTTAGTAACTTTGTAAAATCCGTGAAATTTATAAAATAATTTTGCAAACTTTTGCAAAAATAATGCTCAGACGGTCTGAGCAAGTTTACAAAAATTTGTAAGCTAATCTTGCTTAGAGATATTGCCAAAGTTTGGATAAGTTTACGGATTTTACAAGGTTATCAAGGCCTGTATGAATTGACATGAGTAAAAAAAATAGTTTTGAACAATTAAAAACTCTGAAAAATTTGCATCGATTTTGAAAATTTTGAAATTTTGAAAATCCTCAAATACCTTTTCATCCACCCCAAATTTGTTCTGCAGCTCGGCTAAGTATTCGAGTCCGAAAATGTTCCAATTTATGTGGTCATCTTCTTGCTCCTTTTGACTTTTTTCTTTCACAATGTTCATAAGAACGAGGGGTCTGGTGTCACTGGTGGTGGTAACATTAGTCTGTTGCAGTAACAAGGTCGGACTAGCCTGTTCGAGGAGGGGGAATAACTTGGAGTTCACTTTGGAACAGACGACGCCATAGAATTCTTCGCCATCCGGACAAACCGTGTAGGATTTGAAGGCTTCTCGCTCCGGGGCAAATTCACTGCGAGGGATGATAAAATGACAAATTAAGGTATCGAATGTGCATCCCTAAAGTTAACAAGTTTTGTGACGATAAGAAGTTTACAAACTTTTGTAAAGAAGCTATTTACGCATGCTTTAGTAACATTCTAAAATTTGTAAGTTCTTTAAACTCGTAAATTTTACAAGTATGTATTTCTAAGAAAAAAATACTTCTGATTTCTGAATTTTCCTTACAAACTTGGTGACGAATTTTCGATTACAAAAGTGCATACATAGTTTTTGCATATAAATTTGCATACAAACTTTTTGCATATAAATTTACATACAAAGTTTGTTGCATGTAAATTTGCATACAAACTTTTTGCATCTAAATACAAGTTTTTATTTACGAATTTTTGCTCATAAATTTACATACATATATACATTTTTGCGTACACAAATTTGCTTACAAACTTTCGTTTATAAAACACTTGGATTTTATGAGTTACCAATTACTGCGTGAATTTATATGCTTCAGTTTGTCAGACCCCAAATAATTGACACTAGTGGCGGCGTAAGTTCGGGGGACATTAGCATTGTGGGATGTAAGGAGGAGGAAGTTTGCAGGATGTGATTTCTGGGGGGACAATTAGCATATTCTTACCTGTCAATACCAGCTAACACTACCGCCCCAAACAATTCAGGTCGCCGATGCAGCACAAGTCCCGCCAGTAGGGTCGCATCTCCCCCCAAGCCTAACAAGTAGATTTGTTCCCCCGCCTTGGCGTACCCTTGATTGATCAACTCTTCCCCCAAGTCGATCACGTTTCGGACCTCGTCCTCCATCCGAACCCAGTCCGCGGTCAAGTTGCGATGCGTCTTGTTCCCCTTGTCGTCCTTGCTCTGGAGGAAGTCGTGTTTCACGATGGCGTCCGCGAAGCCGAGCAGCGCAGGAACGGTGTCACGTTTCAGGTATTTTTTAGAATTTAATAAAATCACGGTGGGAGCAGAGATCGGGATTAGGAAATCGGTTTCGGCAATTTTTCGAATGTTTTTCACCCAGACGGTCGCCTTTCGATGGGTGGTGGAATTAGTGTCGTTGTTTGTGGAGGCGTAGGACAGGGTGAATAAGTGGGATGACGGGAGTGGGAGAGGTTTGAGGACCTAAATTTCGAAAAAACTTGTTTTTTTACAAAAGTTTGATTAGTTTATCAGAAACATGTAAATTAGGCAGACACATGTGCATTTAAATACGTTAGGACAGTTATTCTTAAGGTCAAATAACAGGAGTAACATTGTCATAGATTTCAAATCTCATTCTACCCCTATTCAACGCCTTTACATGCATATTTCTAAAATGGCATAAATTTCATGAGTTTTTAGATAAATGCAGCTTTTTATATTTTAATAACAACTTAATTTTTGGTAAAGCCTACCAAACAGTCGATTTGAGAAATATTTCGGATCAATTTTTTAGGAAATTTATTTTGAAAGATAGCCATGATTTGGAATATTTTTCAAACCGGCTGTTTTCTAATACCTAAAAATTAACTTGACATTAAAACATCACAAGTTTCATTCATCTCAAAACTAATGAAATCCTTGGCACTTTGCATTTAAAGACATTGAATACACATAACGCTTGAAATTAATATTTTTTTACCGTGACCAATTCCGAGTCGTCCTTCTCTTTGGAGACATTCAAGATCAAAATTTCCGAAAAGGTTTGTAACGTGCGTCGAATCACGATAACTTCGGGGTCACTTAATCTTCCACTGAGCTGTAGAATTTGCGAGGATTGGACACTGCTCAGGGGCACCGTTCTGATTAAACGATCCGTGAAAAGGTCACGAAGCTGGAAAATAACGGTGCTCGAGGGAGACGAATTGTCCACTAGTTGGATAAGCATCTTATCGCTGGGTAAATACGAATTACAAAAAAATCGTTACGAACGAATTTTAAAAAATCTGAAATTTATGAATTAGTTATTACCCTCCAACGGGGACGACATCGACAATTTTGAAGTTTTGGAAGGTATGTAAAATTCTCCATTCGATGGCATCACCAGGAAGAAGGGTTACTTCGCTTATCCCGTACGAAATCGTGTTTCTTTCCCAGAAGTATAATTTGTCATCCAATTTGGCGAAAAGGTGCTAACGGAGAAATCAATGAAATTATAAATATATTTCGTATTAGGTATTACAAATAATTTTTTGACAGTAAGATAAGAAATTATTCTTATGTTAAGGGATTCACGCAGGCTTTAGTACATAATCTCGTAAAATTTGTAAATTCTGTAAATCTATGAACAATATCAAATTTTACTCCAGTTTCTAAGCATAATTAGCTTCCAAATGTTTTTAAACTTGTGTCAGATCAAAGTGCGTCTTTTCATTGTGTAAAAATTTGTAAAATTGCAATTTGCTTGGAATTTTACAAGTTATCAATGACTGCGCAAATTGGCATGAAATTTTATATTATTGTGCAGAGTACATTTTTAATCTTGCATATAATTTTTAATCCCTGTAAGTTAAATATTTTTAATCCTTGTCCGATTTTTGGCATGCAATATTTATGGTTTACCTGACTTTTAAAAATATTTTCATAAAACTTGCAACCGGATTTCTATTCTTACAAGCAATACGAAATCGGTTTTTAGGAAATTTTGAACCGTACCAAAGAATCCGGTTCGACAGCAATCTTCACACTGATAAGGACCGAATCCAGTAATGATGTCTGATTTATTCTGACTAGGACGTAATTTCCCACAGTTACGAAACTATCCTCATCCAGTTCATCCACTGTTTCGTAGCGGCTTTCGACAAAAAGAAATTCTCCGTCATCTGTAACCTTAAGTTTCCTAAAAAAATATTTAGTTCCCTAATATATTTGAGAGTTTAAAATAATCCATTCTATTTAGATAAAAAAATTCATACTCAATGACACAAGTCGTTCCATTTTTCTTTTCCGATCCGTGACAGAGGGTCGAATAAGCGGCATAAATTAGGGTCTCATCGTCCCTTGTCACGTTTCCGGGACTATTTGTTATTTTATGGAAATTTATCACGTGTTCCCCATCCTGTCTGGAAACGTAGAAAAACCCAGTACTATCCGGCAACCAGGCGAGTCTTTGTGCACTTATTTTCCCTCCGGACAAATTAACCGTGTCGATCGGGACGTCCTGGAAGTCCGTAATGTTTACAATGCTTAATTGTGTCTGCGCGGGGTCGTAATGCGCAATCAGAGACGCGTCCGGGGATATGAATCCATTTTCTAACGTGTAATTCAATTCACGCGGGGTTGAGCTTTTGGAGTCTTGGATGTTCCAAAATGCTCTAAAATATTAAAAATTGCATTGAAATGTTGCAATTTTCTCTCTATTTTACGTTTAACTCGATGACTGATCACCAAAATCATCAAAATCATTTTTAGTAATTTCTCGGAATTTATATTAAAATTCTGGACGACGAATTTTGTCGTCAGTAAATTGATTAATCGAACTGGGCTTAGTTTTTTAAGCCAGTTTAGATGAGTTCCGATTTTTTTGAAGGCGCCATAAACTTGAAATCTTCTCTATAAACTGTCAAAGTTCGAAGTGTTTTGTAGGGCATAATATTTAAATAAGTACCCAGAGCCGAGAGATGATTGAAAATGTGTTGATTTTGACGATTTTTGGCGATGAGTCATAGCGTTGTACGTTAAAACAAAAATTCTCACTTCTCTTTTCGCCCAAGTTGCACCGTGTAGCCATACTTGTCCCCAAACTTCCTGGCAGAATCGTAAATTGGTAAATTTCTATAATTTTGGACTGTATCAGTGTAATTCTGCCTTCCTTTGCAATCTGAAATATATTCCTGTGTCGCACTGATCTCTTGTTCGATAAGTTTGTCAACTTTATCGCTGTTATCGACCTCCTCCATCCATCCGTAGGGTCGCGTGACCTTAAACATCAGAAGAAACGGAATCACGTCAAAAGAAAAATATACATAAATACTTGCTATTACTTAAAAATGATATGAACATATATGACAAAAATCGCGTGTTCTTTTAACGATAAGGATTGGTTCTTCTCCAATTTATTTAGAATTAGGATACTAGCGATAATTTGCTCCATACAGCTAATTTTTATGTAATTTACTCCATCATACTTTAACTTGTTTGTAAGAAATAAATTAAATAACTTAATTAATCTAGATAATCGAGTATAAATCAGCAAATCACTGCATCAAATTCTGCAGCAAAAGCTTTATGCACCTTCTATACTCTGTATAATTTTTGCTCATACTTAATTATGCAGATAATATCCATGAGTTTTATTCTGAAAAGCGGTATATGCATAACAATTTTCTGCATAGAATTTGGTCAAATTTCTGAAGGAAAGCTGCTTAAGGTTTTACTCACGGTTGTCTACATAAAAATAACATAAAAGTTATACAGGTTTTGCACGAAATATATATACATATGTATAGATTTATGCGTACAAATGTAAAAATGTACATGCATTCATATACTGCTACAAATCACCCTGATCAAACACTAGGGTGAATATTTGTTAGCTATTTTATGTGCATATGTATACATTTGCATACATACATACGTATATGTATCCTCTCGGCTCGGATTCAATATTCATATCCTTCAAAATTAAGCTACACGTGAAAAATCCGAAATTTTGTACGCATAAAAATTTAATCACTTCTTACGTTCACTCCGTTATACGTGTTAAGTACTGTCTCGTCCCTCTGAATTTCTGGATACTTGACTCCTGTCACGTCACCCGAAAGGAGACACGTCAACAAAAAGCACAATTTCACTTCCATTTGAATTTTCCGATACAATTACCAATGTCACTTGTGAACTTGACCAGCCACACTTTGCTACTGACGCCGGAGAAGAAGTCAATAATAATTATTTTCGTCAATACATTTCGCACTACACTCTAAATAATTGGAGACAAATTGTCACCTCGGTGGTGACAATTCGAGGTGGTCCTCTATCATGGGTAGTGATTAAAGAACCGTTTTGTCACCAGTGGGAAATAAGTACAAAATGCGTCAATCTAACAGACGTGACGTCGTTATTAAAAAAATGAAAATTTTGATAAACAATGTAAATTTATTTTTTTGCATGAAAGATTTGAATTTTCAAAATAAAGATGCCACGTGTGTTTGGTAGACGAGTTTTTCCCTAATTTCCCTCTAATGACAAAACGGCTCCCCAATAATTACCCAAAAACTGACCACTGCTTTGTCTCCAAAATTTTCTAGAGTGTAATTAAACCGGTTCCTTTGTTCTACGACTACGTGACTGCAGATGCAGACGGCGACGACGACATTACTAAATAACTAATTGGTATTCACAGTGCAAGCGCAAGGACACTTTTTACTAGTCTTCCTCATTAATCTCTATCTCTCTCGTGTCAGGTGTGTGTCCCTCTCTCTCATTCCGAATTATGGGCTCCTCTTCATAAATATGTTTGTTAAGTGGTGGCCAAGCACAATTGACTGGATGGCAAATAGCTACAAAAAATAGCCAATTATTGTGCAACACTAGTTCAATCCACTCAAAAGCAGCTTTTTTTATGTCCACTTTCCAATTACGAGTTGACAGTGACGATGTACTTATTTCGTGATGAAAAGTGCATTATGTATGACTCACCTTTTACATACATACAATCGATTGATGAGTTCTACGTCGTATGTACATATGTATGCATGTGAGAAATAAAGCTAAATATAGCAAATGTGTGGACATTTAAAAAATGTGATGCGCAAAATGTAGGTATGCACATGATTGTTAATATTTGTTATTAAAATAGAAAATTAGTGTAGGTAGATGATTCGTAAATGTAATAAAAAACGAGTTATTTTGGAACCGAGCAGATTAATTTTTTTTAGATTAGCAGCACATTTATTATTAACGAATGCATTTCATGAGCATATGTAGTGTAAATATCTAAATATGTACATATGTACATATGTACTTGTGTACGCATGTATCTATGCATATGCATATGTATAGTTAAAATCTGCAAATGTTTAAAATGTAATTAACTATAGTTAAAACTTGTATTTCTATTTCTGTATATATGCAATTATGTATGTCTGCATGTATCTATTTACATACATATGTGCACATTTATACTTATTTTATATTTAAAGCAAATTGTAAGTTGCATTAATATATATGTTATATGCATGTACACGCGGAGTTAATTTTCCATGTGCACGGGTATTACTTTTTGACAATATAAGTACTCCCTCTCAATATTATAGCCAAGCAGAGGGTTATGATTCGACGGTTATGATTTATTTATTTTAACACCGCTTTGCTAATAACATGTTTACATATTTACACACATACAACTTCTCACTATATAGTTATACAAACTACACTAGTGCGTACATGCATATTTATACATACACAATGAAATGACAATGCCTCATTTATCGTCAGTCTTTCAATTTATTTTCAGTAAAATTATATGGTTTTAAAGCACCAGACTTTACTCACCTCTTTTCTGTACATACATACTTTAATTGTAGAAAAATTCAATTAAGACTCAATTACACATAGACAAACTAATAAGCCTTTTGTTTAACAACTGCAAAGATTCTATATGTACGTACGCTTTGAATCGTAAGTACTAATTGATATTTAGCAATGCTAATTTTTTAAACCGGACAATTTTTCCCAGCTGCTTTTTTACCAGAGCAAAAACGTAATAACAAAATCCCAAATCCCCTTTACATACATTAACCCAATACTTCTCTTTAACACGTGGAAATTCACGTGGCCCAGTCCCGCATGGAACTTTATCGGTCTCATCGTCGCCCTAATCTCTCTTAAGAGCACCTTATCCCTTAATAACCCTTGCCTTCCCCCCATTTCTACCCCCACCCGCATCTCATACAACTTTCTTATCTTGCCCTAGTCGCCAAGATTGAACGGCCCGACAGTGGTATTCGAGTGGCCAATAATGTCGGCCGAAGGTACCATCTTGTCCTCGTGTTTTAAGTCGGGCCGTGGGTGGCCAAAATTATCGGGCCGAAGGTTGGAAATGTTTTTCCCGACCTCGTGCCATCAGCCGCCCACCATCCTACCGATCCAATGCCATGGTTGGCCCCAACCATTCCCCAACGAATTTTAATAATCTCACACTGTTTATTTCTGATTTAGTTCATTTATTTGATATCATGTAGTAATGGAAAACAGACAAAGTTCTCTTTAAAGGGTAACAAAATACATCTATGTGCAATTTGTAAACAATTCAGCTCACAAGTTTTTTTCATTTCATTTCCTAAAATAAAAATTCCTAACTTACAACTACTTATAGGTTTTTCGTATAGTGATTTTTTGTTACTAAATGTTTCGTAATGAACTATTTTAACATTTTTAAATCTATTGTACGTAATTCTTCGAACTATAATAATTTGACCAGAATTCAGAGAATAACAGCTATTTACAATTATTTTGTTTGCTTGAAAATTTTCGCGTTTCTCGTCTAATTCTCTCTTAATAACGTTACACTTTTCGTTTTCTACGATTCTTTTTGCAACCTGTTGGAGATAAAATGTTTTTGTTCTTGTCATTTTCTTCAGTTGCTGCATGAAATTTTCAAAACCAAACGCACTAATATTATCTAATTGTCCGAAGTTTAGAGCGTCCTCATGAATATGTGATAAACCATGGACATTATAAACCATAAAATTACTGTCATATACGACTCTGCATTGTAAAATAAATTTTGTCAACAACCGCCTGGCTAAAGCGTTCCACTCGGGGTCATCAGCATTGGCCGATAAAAGAATAAACATAGCACAATGAAAATAAAGGAAATGAATGTAATACTTCTCCGGTAAGACATTTTTCAGTGCTACTGGACCTGTGTACAGCATTATCGTTCTAAATTCCGTGGCCTTAAAATTATCAATCTCATTCAAACTTCTTGGTCTTCGCTGAAAATCACGAGGCATAAACGTTTTGAAATTTATAAATCTGTCTGAAATTTCATTAATAATTTTACTCTGCATTCTATGAGGCAATTTCCCTTTTGCCCACTGTCGCAAAAGTTTTCTCATGACCCCTAAGCAACACATGTGCATATAGTCATATGGAATCTGCGAGACCAAGCCAATTTGCAATTTTGATAAAGAAGTAGAAAATTTATGATGATTCTCGTCTAATTGTGAACGAAACGATTCATCTGTACGCGAAGCTGAATTTAATTCAGTGTACACTACACTTTTTCCAAATTCGCCGTGTTGAACACATTTCTCACACCCTGAATAACTATTATGATTCTTAATTCCCTTAATGAAACTTCTAGCTGGAGCATCAGCAATAATACAGGAAATTCTGAAATGAAATTTCTTCCCTAAATGATTAAATCCATCCTTCTCTAGTGTAATTGTCTCAGCAATAAAATCATTTAGAAAATCTAAATTAGTAGGTTTTTGAACTCCGTAAAATAGCCCTATTACAAAAATTGAATTAATTTTAAGTTGATCAATTTTACCAAGAAGCGGCCAAAATTGGGATCTTGTACTCCTACTTAATGGAATACCATCCACACCTACAGATATTGTTACAAGATTTTCGCCAAAATCGTGATAAAATTTGCTAAAAATTGTTGATTTTGGCTGAACGAGGTGAGCGATATTTGAAATTGATCTCTTTAAATTTTTTTCTATTCCGAAATATACAAATTCTCCACCAGAAATAAAATCAGTTTCAACTACTCGGGGAGTTTCTAATAATGTTCGAGGATCTAGTGGAACTGTTAATTTGAGACTACTAGATAATAATGATAATAATTCTTTTAAAGCAACATGTGTAATATTATGGGACAAAGCCCATCCTCGAAGTTTTTGAGGAAATGGTGTTTGCTCTTCATTGAACGATTCGTTTTCACTGAAACTTGTAAAGCTATAACTATTATTCTCTGAATTTGACGAATATTCTACACTATCATGCAAACTACTAATTATTACTTGAGATTCTGAAACTGATTCACCATCCACACTTGATACTGGCGCTAGAATAGTAGAGGAGGAAGCTATATTTATATTATGAAGAAGGGTTGCCACTTCCGCCTTCCTTCTTCTTGCCTTTGTTCTGTTTGAGGTTAGCATTCTGTCGTCGTTTTTCTCGTCCGCCCTCTCTGTCTTCAGCACCCTTTAGCCACGATGCAACATAACTTCCAATTTCCTGGTCCGTAGATAAACTATAACCGTTTGTGGCACGCACGGAATCTAGATTAATCAATTCATTGAAATTCCAACTTCATTAAATTACAACTTTGGATCTGTACTGTCACTCAAGATCTTACCTCTTATAATTTGATAAATTGGCTCGTTGTTTAAAGCAATTTCAATATCCTTCCCTGCTCCAGTGACAGTAATGATTTTTGCGAGACTATTTGCAAAAAGTTTTTTCAGTATTCTGCTAACCAGGAGAGAGAGCCTTTTTGCGCCAATGAGTGCCAATTCCGTGACCTAAATAGAAGATTATTATTACACTAAACTTATTTAACTAATTTTATACCCTTACCAAACAGTCACGATTTTCCTGCACCTGAATCCACACGTTTAATGACTTAAACTCAGCAACAGTCACCACAGGAATTTTGTGCAATTTTATTTTAGTTGGGGGAGATATGTTAATCCCACCTGACCTTCTCAACAGTTCCGTGACAAGTTGTTCCAATTTAGCCAAACGATCAATAACGATTTTCTCAAATTCTACGAATAAATTTTAGATACATAAAGCAATGACTTTATGTATATCTGTACAAATATATATAAAATAGCTACCCGTGTCATTTTTGCCAACTAAATCCCCACTAAAGCCTGGAAGACTGTTAACACTTGGAGGGATATCACTTAAATCAAGGTTGGAATTTAATGCCACCGTTCCGTGATCAACCAATATCAACTTAGGACTTGATATAATTGGGCAACTATTCGGACCAACTAAAATCGTAAATAAGGAGGAAATCATATATAATTTTACATAATTGTGAACAGAACAGTCAATTTAAAAACACTTTAAATAAAAGAATGTTTAAATACCGTTGGACACACTCGGCGAGTGAATTTGATCGTGGTCAGAATCACTTGAATAATTCGGTTCGACTGGTTTTGACGTAGTAATTGAGGTAAATGACGTGCTTGGAATTTCGATGTCGCTATCAATTGGGTCCTTACTCGGCGACGACCCAGAAGATTCAGAGTTTACTTTTTTCTTTTGTTTATTTCGTCTTCGTCGCCTAGGACGACGACTTTCATCCTCATCCACGGTAGTTTCAAATGTCGACTGATTTG